GTGGATGGTTGCGAAATCCGAAATCCATTTCGCACCACCTAAGAAACCCTGGCATGATGATTTGCCTCTGAAAAATAAAAATAACAACGGTTTCAACCATGGGCTTCAAATGGGTCTCAAAATTAAACAGGAGGGGCAAACCGCAGGTTTGGTCCATGTTTCCACTTACCAGGGCAAGCCATTTTGGAGTTCCAGTTTTTTGAGCCATTGTTGGCTGCGAACTCGATTTTCGTCCACCCACACTATGAATGTGGATTTCCCGGACCTCAGGGCCTTACGCCAGGAGCGCCTGGGGAAGGCCGCGAAGGCGCGTCGCTTCCCCGACGGGCGCAAGGCCGATGCATCGTCAGGGTCTTCCATTTGCGTAATACTCAGTGGTTCAAAGCGAATCGACCTTTTGACCTTTTTGTTTGTCTATGTTTAGTAGAGGTCCCAAAAGGTGATCACTTTTTATTTACAGGTGCTTTGGGCTGAGAATATCCTGGACCTTCAAGCTCCGGGGAATTTCTGGGTGGATTCCACTGAAACGATCGCCACTTGGGTCAAGGGAGGACATGGAGTGGTGCCTGCTGTTTCCTCTAAATACTTCCATTTGCTTAAGAATATGTTCTATTTTCCCCTGTTGGCCTAAAGGAGAATTTATCACGACTGGACATAGGTTCATTGGAGGGATTCACTCCCCAGATTGACTTAAACTCTATTGAACTTTGATTTTCGGTTTTGGGATCAAACAAATCGGAGGGTTCTGTGTTCCAAAATGGATGCCCAAAGAAGCGAACATTGCAGGACTCAGATGACTGGTTCGTGTGTTCAAAACTGACGTTTTAAGCTTTTGGCTTACCCGTTTTGGACCACTTTCAGAAACAAACCCAAAACGGTTCACTTGTTCATTCTGGATCCTTTGGGCAAGATCATGTGTGCTGCTCAAGCCTCTTTTTGGGCGTCAAAACACCGTTGTTTCTTCTCTTGCAAGGGTGGTCATGCACCCCTGAGACAATGACCGCCAAAATCAATGCTTTTCGGGTTCATGTTGATTTGCAGGATGACCCGACGCCGCGCCCCCACTTGGCAAGCCGCAAAGACAAGGAACCATGACCCACGCGAGTCTTTGTCCATGGCCCGTCCAGCCCCCACATAGGATGACACACCTGGCTTGTTTTGCGGTTGGTAAAAGGCTTTACCACATTTGTTAGGTTGGCTGTACAGTGGTTTGTTTGGCTTAGACCTCTAGGTTATTCCCAAGCCAAAAGAAGAACTATGACACGCGTTAGAACAGGCGCAAGCCGAATCCTGCAGAAAAACAAGAACCCAGTCAACTGATAAGCCCGCAAGGGTCTTTCACCCGCTCAACAGAAAACCGAGTCGCTTTATTTTTTGAGCCGCAATCAATACCCGGGTAGATGATCCGGTTAGTAAGGGACAATTTTCTTGCCATAAATAGCTGCGGAATTGTCCGCCTTCTTAATTCTTTACATGGTTCTGGTAGGATTTCACAACCATCCACAGAAGGGTATAACCGACCCGACCCGTGGTTCTGGGATTACGACCATTTTGGTACCGGGTTTTGACCAAGTGACTCTTTTGGTTGCCCTGTATCCCCTCAACCCTTTTCCCATGGACCTGGACTTGGGGCCATTCAAGTAGTTTTCCGCAACACCTTCCGGTCCCAAACCCTGGTGAACTTTGGTGCGTTTTGCCAAGGGATGTTAGGACTTTAACTTGTTGGCAATGGGTTTTGCCGTATTGAACCACTATTAAAGTTTTAAACTCTTAGGGGAGCAGAAAGCAACCGAGGTTAGTGGTTTGGACTGGCGGTTTGGATTCGGAGGTAAAAACTTGGTTCTAGGAGATAAATGGTTTCCCACCCTTCACCACTCAACCCCCGGGCCCGGAACCGAATGGGATATCCATGAGACCGGGTATCCAAAACCAAGCCGTCCATTGGTACCCTGTTGGGATGGAACACCAAAGCGAAGACGCCCCGGTTTTCTCGCTTCCGATCGAGTGGATTGACCGAAACAAAAGTGCCCATGTTCTTTGATCAAAGCCACTAAGATGGTCCAACCCCCCGAAAAAGTGACGATCAAGTCGACAAGTCCTAAACTGAACTCGAGCGAACTCCGAGCAGTTCCCCAAGAATGCAGGAAACAAACGTGCGCTAGAGATGTCACTGCACATGGACCTTCGGGAAGCTAAAAGGTGAGTATGTTGCGATCTTTCACTTCCACCCAGACATTTTGGGAGGCTGACTCAGAAAGTGAGTATAGCCATTGGCCTTAAAAAGGAAACAACCGGATTTTCAGGGAGTGAGTTTTCCATTTTGGGAGGAAATCTATCAAGAGGGAAACAAATCGCAATCAACTCCTGGACAAACATCTTATTATACTTTTCCAGAGATGTATTTTTTGTTCCAGGCGGCGAAAGCTCGGCAAATGAAACGCTGCTCGGTCCCCCAGTAGTGCCCTTTTCCCCTTTTTGGGGGGAGGGTTCCCCTACTAGCCTAGACTACCGAAAAAAGTTGGTACACTTATTCTAGCCTCTCTACTGGAGGACCTAGGACCACTAAACCAAATAAACAAAACTAACCATGATTTCCTGGGTGTTTCATGGTTTCCTGAAACGAAGGATCCCTGCCAGGGCCCTCATTCACTCAAACCGCGAGGTTTTGAGACCGGGTTTGAAACACCGATTCCCGGGGTGTCTCATATGGAGGGGTCGGGTCCATTGAGAGTGCCGGGAGCCTCTGGGTTGGATTCTGGGTTGGACACTTTCCCATTGGCATCAGCTTGAAGGAACGATGGTGGAAAAGAATCAAACAAATGGAAAAATGAACCAGATAGTTTGGAGAAGATTGAACCATTGAAATCCCCAAGAGCTGGGTGGCAAGAATGGACATGGAAGCGAAGCCTCTGGTCTTCCAATCGGATGGCAAACCAAAGTCTTCGGATCCAGGGAGCTGTGGATGGACAGAATCCATTTCGCACCACCCCAAGAAGCCATGGTTGGAACCATAACTGTGGTGCATTTTGCTTGGCTCTTAGGACTAACTTTTTGCCAACTAATGGGTTTTCCACTAAACCACTACAAGTTAAACTTTTAGCAGGGGAGCAGAAAAGAGATAACGTTTGTTGGTATTTACGTTGGAATCTATCATCATTCCCAAGAAGTTTCTGAACGGTGCGAGTTCTGGATTTCGCCACCATCCACAGTAGGTCCCAGCTAGGTGCCCATTTTAACCCCTTTTTGGGAGGGTTAAATCCCAGGAACTCACTCCCTGAGGGTCCGCGCCCTACCTACCTGGACCTTACCTTACCTACCTGGAAAACCTTGACCTTACCTACCTACCTTACCTACCTGGGGTCTCCATGAGCCTAAGCGGAGTCGCCATTTTGGGGACGACCCGTCGTCTCGAAAGCCGGGCGTCCGAGGCCCTGGCGATCTCCGTGCCGAGCCGTCGCCTCGCCCCCAAGGCCCCAGGCGCGTGTCCGCTGTGGTGCTTTGGGTGGGCCGGGGGGTGGTTTCGCGGGGCGAAGGTGTCCGGTGAAAAGGTCCTCTTCCGGTTTGCGGAATGCGGGATTTTGTTGGTTCAAAGGGTGTTTGTTTGTTGTTGGGTTTGTGTTTCGCTGGTTTTGAGACGAAAACACAGATTGCGATGTTTAAGCAATATATATAATATATATATATATATACACATATATAACAATTCGATGTGGAATCTGTCACTACTGGACATATTTTTTTCCAGGGGGCTTAGGCAAATGAAAGGTAAGAGAACCATGGCATGACCAAATTCGTAGGTCACGCCCAATCCTAAGAAAGAAGTGCTGCATCCTACTGCTGGACAAACTCCGCTCCGCACCAGTTGGGATGGATGAAACCATGCAGACCAGTTGTCTCAACCTGCCGGGATGGCACATGTTGGATATATGTTTCTCGGCACGATCATGGCTCCTGTCGTTCTTCACTTTGTTTTTGCCCAGTACAAATGAACAGAAAAAAGGAAGAAAAACAAACTTGCCAAGAATTAGAAACAAACCAATTGAACAGACACAAACACCTTGCCAAGTGAAGCTTGCCCTGGGTGTCCATGCGCCGAAAGTCAAAGTCAGCGCATCCCGCAGCCATGAGGTCCGGAGAGATGAAACAGGTACCGCACTCCCAACGAGCTCCTGGACTGTTTTTTTGGGTTGGGTTTGTACAGGGCTCCTTAAAAGAAATTCATTTTCCAACCATTTGAAACATGGACCGCTTTTTCAACACCAAAATAAGGGGACACCACCATTGACAAGTTGCAATGTTCAGGTGTATAATGTAAGGATCCCTGTTGTAGAACGTGTTTCTTGTGGCAAATACAACGTTGAGACGATTTCTGGCAAATCCCCTCAGGAAGTGTGCAAATATTGCAGGTACACCAAGCACACTGCACCATTGAAACCATGGTCAATTACGTCAAATTCCAGCGTTTCCTTCTTCCCTTTGCAATAGCCTCCACCGTACTTTGTTGGCCTTGTCACCTTCTCTCTCGATTCGACCTGAAGCCTGCAATAACATTGTGTCATTGGGAAATGACAATAGGTGTCCCTGTCAGGTTAGTTTGGTAAGGAATAGATGGCACTGGTTCAGATGGGTTTTATTCCTTCCATTTAGCGGGCAAACCCATCTATTTGTCCAAAAGGCCACATGGAAATGACAGTTTCCCCAACCGGGAACAAAAACCAACCACATCACTGCTTTGTCGGGGGTCACGGACCAGCCCGGTATATTGATAAGGGTCTTGTTCACTTGAGGACTCATAGGACAGGGGCCTGACTCTTCTTCATCGCCGCACCCCCGACCTCCGATATATCGCTGTCGGTTCCTCAATTCGCAGACGCTCGTTGCGTGGACCCACGCAGCATAAAAGCAAGCGAACAAGGAAAGCCCAATCAATGGGGTGGGGGGCGGGGCGGCCACAAATGCCTGAAATCCCACAAAAAACGGGACGTCCTCAATTGAACAACCAGGGGTTTAATCTGTGAAGATTTGACTTTCACTACGCCCACATCGCTTGCGCCTTGCCTTTGGCTCGAGCTGGTTAACCCGCCCCTGGCGCCGTGCTTGGCAACCCCGAGCGACCGGCCGGTCCTCAGCTTCCGAAACGGGGCCATTCACGTCCCCACCACAGCGTGCCAATGACGGCCTTGGAAAAGACCGCAGCGCTCCTGAGCGTGGTGGAGCAGGGTCGGGCCTCCCAGAGCGCCTATGGGCTTGACTTGTCGGGAATGGGACTACTCTTACCTGGAGTCTCCAGTCAGGACCCGTGAAAGCCGGGTCTCCACATTTCAACTGTGGGAGACTCCAGGTGGGTAGACCTGTTGGGTTTCGCCATGGGAAGAGCAACCAAGAAAAGAGGCACCTAGAGTCTCCATGACCCCTAGAAAAAGGGGTCATGACCCCTTAATTTTAGACCATGACCAACCATTTGTTTAAAGGGTCAGAAGGAGAGTCTAGGCAGGCCTTTTTTTGGGTTGACTTTTTTCCCCAACACGAAGGACCTGAAGGATGGAATTCACTGGGCTCCAAACCTGGCCTGATGTTGAGTTCATTTGTTTGAGGGAATCAGGATCTCTTTTGCTGGGAACAGAGCAACCGAGGACCGAGCTTCCCGGTGTAGGTTGAATGAAACGGTTTTGGGGATTTCAGAAGAAAGGAAGCCATAGGCATTCATTCCTTGCCTATCGAACCAGCAAGACAAGTACCCTGATTCCAATTCCCCTTTCTTTTTTTTTGGAACGAACAAAAATGTGAGCCCTACGGTCTGGGAAGAAAACCAACAGGAAAAAGACAACGGCTGGGTAAATAAAACAGCCGTGCTTTTGCTCGAGAGTTTCATGTGGGTCAGCCATTCCTATCGGTTGAATCCTAGCAAGCTCCCTGTGGCTGGGCTTCCGAGTTTCAGGGATGTTAATGGAGCAAACCTTGCGTCACGACACTGGCCCGATGTTCCTTCAACCGTTCCTCCCTCAGAAGAACCCGACAGCCACGTGACATGTGGATGTTTCAGATGCTCCCGCGAGGTACTCGTGAAAATCCAAATCTTTCTTCAGGTTTCGGAAAAGCGCAAGTCTGGTACTAGGTCCCCCAGTAGTGCCCTTTTACACATATTTGGGGAAGAATTCCCCTACTAAAGAAGACTACCAAAAGAAAAACAAGTGGGTGCCCTTCTTCTATCCTCTCAAATCTGGAGGACAAATCTGGTAGGTCTCCGTCTCTATTTTCTCCTTGGGAAGGCGGGGGCCCACCACCCATTTGCGTCCACGTCAGGCGGGCACCACGTTGCGTGTGTTCTTTTGGTGTTACGAACACATCGCTGCTCGGTGCTTTGCAGCTGTTCCTTAACACGCAAATATGTGTGTGTGTGTGTGTGTGTGTGTGTGTGTGTGTGTGTGTGTGTGTGTGTGTGTGTGTGTGTGTGTGTGTGTGTGTGTGTGTGTGTGTGTGTGTGTGTGTGTGTGTGTGTGTGTGTGTGTGTGTGTGTGTGTGTGTGTGTGTGTGTGTGTGTGTGTGTGTGTGTGTGTGTGTGTGTGTGTGTGTGTGTGTGTGTGTGTGTGTGTGTGTGTGTGTGTGTGTGTGTGTGTGTGTGTGTGTGTGTGGTGTGTGTGTGTGTGTGTGTGTGTGTGTGTGTGTGTGTGTGTGTGTGTGTGTGTGTGTGTGTGTGTGTGTGTGTGTGTGTGTGTGTGTGTGTGTGTGTGTGTGTGTGTGTGTGTGCGTGTCTTAAATGGTGCCCGTTTCAAGTTGGTCAAAGTGACAACAACTGGACAGCCATAATTGTCGCGCGTTTCAGATCGTTTCAGGCTTGTGAACGGGAGCCCAACAGCAAAGCCATTGTGTTCGTGCGATTCTTGCTTACTCAATGGAAATGGTGCCCTCCATTTTACTATTTCTGGGTTGACTGAACATAACAGAATCTGAGACTATCATTTTCTGCTCCCCGATGTTGGCCCCTCGCAAAGTAGAAGGCTGTAGGGTGCCTGACGGCTCAAGTGTATCCAGTGAACAAAAAAAACACAAAGAAGGGCCCCTTTCCCAAAAATGAGTCGCGAGATTCGCAGTCTGCTTCTGACCAATGGGCAATGACCCCATTTTGAAGGGTCAGAAGGAGACTTCAGGTACTCGTTATCTATGGTCTCACGTGCCCAAAGCGACTCGACATTTTGACTTCTAGGCTTTACCCTTGATCCATTTTTTTACCCATGGCAAAAAGCGAAGCTCTTGTTTCCAGGTCCCCTTGTTGGTCCATGTGTTTCTGAACCCAAAAGGTTAACCTCTTCTAGGTCTTCCAGTAGTGCCCTTTTCCCCTTTTTTGGGGGAGGGTTCACGAAAATAGACTACAGAAAAAGAAATCGGGCACCCATATTCTAACCTCTCTACTGGAGGACCTAGTCTTGTTTCCAGGTCCTCTAGGCCGCTGAGTGGTTCATTGCAGCCCGAGGCAGAGACGCCTTCCTGAACCAGCTGAGCAGCCGTCGCCGCGCCGGCGACTCTGACTCGCGTCTGCGCAACCGCGAGGACCCGAAACACGATCCGCGGATTCTTGGAAGGGCCCAAGCGCGGAAGAGATTTGTGAACCAGGGCCAAATTCAATGGGGGTGTCCTTCAGAACATGAAATTTTCCGTAGGGTGGGCCAAATACGTCACAGGGTCCCCGGACATATGTTTTTTCTGGCGAATGTTTTTCCCCCGGAGGAATAATTTCGAGGCCTATTTCGGGGGGATCTCCCCAAGAGGTGAAAGCCGAAATTTTCCGCACAACGAGAATTTTGTGTACACCGCGGAAAGAACCCCATCGAGGGTCGCCGTAGAATTTTTGCGCTCCGCGAGGATAAGTTTTTGTAAAGTTGCTGGGCTGTGGTTTGCGCGGTTTCTCGGAAACCTGTACGAGTTTCAAAGCTAAAAGCATTGAATGAGCTTCCTCGCGTTGGGAAGATGTCTTGCCTGCATTTGGCTTGTCTGCCCAGCCAGATGAAGTTGACCATTGGTGACTGGCTGTGATGTGAAGCTTGTTGATTTCATGGGCCCGATATTATGTTGACTGTTCCTGATTGTGAAAAGAATCATGGGAGGGTTGTTGTACGTTCAAAACTCCAGAAGGACCCCCAAAGGGATGTGTTTCCTTTCGAATTGCCTTTTCATCTGCCCCCCTTTTTAACAGCAGCTTCGAAAACAGAGACACTATGCTGCTGGGTTCTTGGACAGTCTTCCCCGGTGCTGTCCTTCGCGGAAAGAATGCGAATCTCATTGGCGCAAAGCTCGCAAGCTTCCGGGTGAGTTTGCTTGGGCTGCGGATGTCGAGATTTGAATTGCAGGTCATGGAACGAGAGGGATGTCCGTGTTTGTGTGTGTGTGTGTACCTAGACTCTCCATGACCCTTTAAAAGTGGGGTCATGACCCCTTTCTTTTGGGTAATGACCCCACTTGTCAAGGGTCATGGAGACTCCAGGTAGGTAGGTAAGGTCAGGTAAGATCAGGTCAGGTGTAGGTACTGTGGATGGACGAATCCATTTCGCACTGCGTAAGAAACCCAATAATGGAATGATTTGAATCCCCTGTAAATACCAACAAACAATTGTTTGAACCATGGTTTCTAAGTGGTGCAGAATTTCGTCCATCCACAGCATGTCTGTGTTTATGTGTGTAGTGTAGGTAAGGTCAGGAAAGATCAGGTCAGGTCAGGTCAGATAAGGTAGGTAGGTAGCTCCCCACCAGCGTGCGGAGCCAAAGTTTGCCATTTGGGGAGCGGGGGGTTTGACCTCATGACTTGCCTTAGGGCGCCATTCAGGTCAACCCCCCCTTTCCGCCTTTCCGCCTTTCCGGAAACAGGTGGTTTGCCTTAGTTCAGAGGTATTCCTGACCTTGGAGCCCTTTTTTTTTGAGGGGGGGGGGGGGGGGTTCCCCTTTAAGGTCGACCCACCAAAAGAAGGATGCGCTTTTCCTTGTTTTTTCCGCAGGGTTGCTGAGCATCTGAGTCCCCTCTTGGTTGTTTTTCAGAACACTTTGTGCGGCAAGTTTGAAATGGGCTTTCCTTGAGGTGGAGTGATGCAAGGGGGCACATCGCAAATACCAAAAGCACATATGGTTCCGAGTCCAAAAGGAAGCGAAACCCAAGAAATCCCTAAACTCGTCTTTTTTGGGTGTCATTTTTCGGGATACACCTTTCTTCGCGGTTTTCAGGCAAAAAACAACGGAAGAACAACCACGGTTTTGGGGCTCGCCGTGGTTTCAAGCCCCGGGCACATTTTGGGAAGCACGAACGTTTGCATACATCCGGAAAAAAATCTGTCCAGTGATCCCTTTGCGGCTTTGCAGTTGTGGCCTTGACGGTGTTGCCTCACTCGGCCTTAGGGCATACTGTATGCTTACCCCACCCCACCCCACCCCGGCCCTGGCTGAGCACAGGAGCCCCGGGGCAAAGTCTCCGACTACGGCACCGAGAGGTTCTTGTGGAACAATCGGCCAGGATCCCAGAGAGTAAAAACCGGCAGAGGTACTTTGGCGCATTTTGCTCGGCTGTTAGGACTTGGGGCCTTTCGAGTTTTCCGTAACACCTTCCGGTCCCCAGCCATGGTTAACTTTGGTGTGTTTTGCTTGGATGTTTGGACTTTAGTTTTTTGTCAATATAATGGGTTTTCCATTGAACCACTAAAGTTAAACTTGGTCCTTGTGATACTGTGGATGGTTGCGAAATCCAGAAATCGCACCACTTGGAATCCATGGTTGAAACCGTAACGTTTGTTGGTGGTTACGTTGGGGACTCGAATCCCACACCAGGGTTTGCTCGGTGGTGCGAGTTCTGGATTTCGCATCCATCCACAGGTCTCCTTCGGGGGCTCTGCCTCTTTGTTCTTGTCCGGAGCTTGTTGTTGTCGTTTTTGGATGTGAAATGCGCATGTCTGTGTTGCTCGAAAAGAGAAAAACAACAAACCAGTTCCAACAAACAGTGCCCAGGGAAGACCTAGAGCCTCCTAAAGTTGCTGGCAAGTTACCATGGATTTGTGGTGTGGGGTCGGCTTACTTGCAATATGGCGAACGGGGCATCCACCAGACCATTTTGGGTGTCCCTGTTTGAGGGCACCCTTTTTGGGGTTGCTTTAAAGGGAAACCAACAGGACCACGGAAGCCATGTTTGGGGGTTCCCTCTTGTAAGAGACAGCCATTGATGTCCATTTGCTGAAATGAAGATGTTTTCCTTGCCCCTGTTGGTTCTAAAGCGAAGCACTTTCACTACTGGTGGACGAAATCCGTTCGCGCCATTTTGAAACCATGGTTGAAAACATTGTGTGTTGGTATTAGCTCAGAGGCATCCCTTGCCCCCAAAAAGCATTGGGAGGGCCAAAAGGCCCGGCTCACCATCTAGGTCGTCAACTGTTGTTCCCTTTTGATGGGGGCTCCCCACTCAAACACGTGGCCCCCAGAGATGACTGCACTGGGTATACCACATTTCTTCGGGCATCTTTGACTGACCGACATCTTCATGGACCTCCAAGGGTTAAGGCAGAAGCCAGGGGATAGAATTCTCCAGTTCGCTTCCCGGAGGTCCATGGGCGTCCGTCGAATCCATTTCCCTGGGTTTCAAAGTAACCAACCGCCCGATAACTCCAGGAAAATGGCTGGTGACCTATGGGGGCAACTGGGATCCATGTGGATGGACGAAATTCATTTCGCACCACTTTGAAACCAGAGGAACCCACGGTTTGTTTCGTTTCTACAGGGAAGTCATCATTCCAGGGTTTCTTAGGTGGTGCAGGATTTCGTCCATCCACAGTATCGCACAGATCTTGGCATGCGGCGTCTCCCTGAACTTTGGCCCTGCCGTAGTCCTTTTGGAGGAAGGTTGCCTTGCGCCTGGGGCACAAAACCGCGAAAGTGCAAATGCCAAAAAAGGGAGAAGGGGCTCCGGGAAAGTGCAGCCCCCAAAAGGGTGGGGTCATCTTGACCAGGGCACTGTGGACATGGTGCCCTTTTGATTCCCGGCAACTGGGGGGCTCGGAGGATTGACCAAGAAACGAGCTGGATTCGGGGGTTGCCGGTGTGTTGGGCATGCGTTTTTCGTTTTTTTCGTCGCGTGCGTTGGACCCATTCCCTCAGCTGACCTCACAGCGCCAAAAAGCGCTCGCATGACTCGAGCGCATGACTCGAGCGCCAGGGAGTGCTACGGCACCAAGTTCCACGTGGAGGTTTTGTGCGACAATCAGGAGGAGGTTTTGAGCCAACTGGCGCAAGGCGCGAGGTTGGGCTGACCAGCAAACCCATGATTGAGCGATGTAGCTGGGAGCTGCTACCCAAGGTTGTGTCTTTTCTCGGAGGGCACTCCCTTTGCTGTGGGTTTAAAAGGACACCAAAAGGAAAACCGAAGAAATTTTGGGTATGGGTTGATCTGAAGTTGACACGATTCAATCCGATTAGTTGTGGGCTATGATCTGAGCTCTTTGTGTGGGACAGGACTTGTTCAGTAGAAGATCCAAGTGGGCGATCGACCAACGTGTTGTGACAAATTCAGGTTTACGGAAGACGGAAAGGCTGTCTAGGCGTGATTCCGGCTTCAACACCCCAGACCCCAGCAAGGTGAAAGATTCAAAGAGCTCTCTGTCAGGCCTCACACCTGTATGTCAAAACTCAAAGACCGACAGCTCCTGCATGCTCACCGATCCGTGATAAACCGGACGAATTAGCCCATGATGAACGTTTTTATTCGAGGTTCCATAGTTCGTGTCGGTGGAGCATAACAATTACGTAGTGCGAATATGCGGGTGTGTGTGTGTGTGTCAACATAGGGGGACCGCGAAATTCACGTGGAACCCGACAAAACATGCAGAGGAGTACCCTTTGGGAGCTGGAACCCAAAAAGGCTCCATCTTAATTCGACGTTGTGGGGGAGGAATTAACCTTGCGAAACCGAGGGCTCAACTATTCAACTTCAGAAACCCCCCAAAGAATCTCGGGTGGATCCTTTGGCTGGGCCGCTGAGCTGTGGCCGTTGGGGAGACCTGTGGATTGCGAAAATCCAGAACTCGCACCACCGTTCAGAAACCCCTGGTTTCTGATGATTCCCCAACGTAAATACCAACAAGCAATGGTTCCCCCTTGTTTCTCGGGTGGTGCAGGATTCTGTGCATCCACAGTAGGTAAGGTCAGGTAAGAACGGTGTCCTTTGCTTTCAAAGTGGTGCGAAATGGGACTCAAAAAAAAGAAAACCAAAAGGAGAACCACATCCCGAGAGTCTCCATGACCCCTAGAAAATGGGGTCATGACCCCTTAATTTTAGGCAATGACCTCACTGTTTAAGGGTCATGGAGACTCTAGGTCTTCTTTTTTCTTTTGGGGGGGTCCCCTCAGAAAGACACCCAAATAAGGCCGTTCCCCCTGACATCCGAGAAGAATCGCGTCAGAAGCTCGGGCTTTCTTGCCAGACGCTTCGCGACTGCACGAGCGCTGCTTGGCTGCTTGAAGGTGGCGTTGTTCTGGGAATACTTAGGGTCCAAGGGGCTCCTGGGGAGTCTTCCATTTGCTGAAAGGCACTCGCAACACCATTTGCCAGGTCTGTCCTCTTTTTTTTAGGGAGGCCCGCCAAAATTTTGCAGTTGTCCTTGTTGTTTCCCTTGAAAGCCATCCAAGGGTACGCTCAAAAAAGATACCCACCCATGTGTTCTTGTGCTTGTGTTTTGCCGATGCGGCTGTCACAGCCATGAGCTTGTTGCTTTACTTGTCCTTGCCGGGTGGATTGATCCATCGTGAGACATGGAGGTGTTGGGCCGCTTCGCTTGTGAGACCAAAGGACCCCGCCCCTAGGTGACAAAGCCGCGAGGATGAAACGTTCACTTTGCCGTGGATGGTTGCGAAATCCATTTCGCACCACCTTGCAAACCCTGGCCAACAAGCAACGGTTTCACATGGGTTCCAAGTGGTGCCGGAGTTCGTCCATCCACAGTATCACAAGGAGGTCATTTCCATCAACCGCGACTTATGACTGATCTTTCCCTGTGCCACGCCCAGAATTTGGCTACATCACCAAGTTCAATTCCAAGGCCGGCGGGGATGTGTTTGTGTGTTTCTTGGGAGGAATGTGGGGGGGAGTTGCCTTCTCTTTGCTCGCGTTTCGTTCATGCTCGTTTGGATGCCATTGTCAGAAGTGAGACCTGCATGTTGGGATCTGTTGGCTTGAGTCACTATATAGTTTTACACCGACAATCCTTGCTTCTAGAACCCACGACACAGAAGCATTTGCCCACTTAATGTTGACCCAGGATTAATAAACTGGTCCCACTATTGGGGGGGTGTTCCCTCCCACAGTGATGGATCCCCACTAAAAGGGGACACCCCCTATTAATCAACCAGGGGTTTATTAATCCGGGGTTGACATTACCAATGGATCGCAGACAACCAGAGGTTTCGCCGCCTGCCCAGCTGGATCGTTTTGAAGTGGGGTCCCGCTTTTTCATGACAGGGTTTCCGCGCCGTTTGTCCGAAACACGCCACGTGGCGCTGGCTGGAACGTGTTCACTCAAGTACGGAGACGTGCACTGCGGCGGAGCTCTCTCCGCAAGCAAAACTCTGCCCAATGGCTCGTTTTAGGTTTATTTTTATTTCTGGTGACCAAACCGTCCCCCAAAAAACGGGCCAGTTGTTTTTTGGCAAACCCATGGGATCCAGAGAGCCACCAGACCCCTACAGAACACCTCTCTCGCACAACCGAACCCCCCCAGAAAGGGCCAGGGAGGGCCATCAGCAGCCTGGAGGCTTAAAGGCTTGAAATTCTTGAGCCCTGGCGGAGTTTCTGGAAACCGGAGCAAAAAAGTCGTTAGACCTTGGGCAAAGGATCCTCAGCGTCCTGAAAACCGATTCGGGTAGATGAAGGTTAAGGGATAAGCCCCGCCACAAATGGGTGCAGAGTTGTTCCCTCTATTGAAGCATGGTTCTGGGGATCGACAGTTTCAATCTCAGATTTGATGATTCTCACCTGAAGTGAGCGGAAGTGACGTGTGCCAGAAGTGGAAGCCTAGCCTTGATTTGCTTCGAGCAGCCTTTTGTTGTTGCGTCAACCCTACAGCTTTCATTTGCTGAAACGAATACATAATATGTTGCTTATTGTCCCTCGGTGGTTTTTTTTTCATGTCCTTTCTTTTCTATCTCTTTCATCTCTTTCACGGTCATGAACAGAGAGAGGGTAGACGGTGTAAAGAGAAGGAAAGAGGCTGCCAGCCAATCGAGACCCAACAAAGGAAGGGGATTGGCAGGCTGGTGATGGAGAGATGAAGCACATGGCATGATTCTTTATCAGTCCCTTCATTATTACTTGGTTTTCGTGGAATGCCATTGTCACCTTCCTTCACTCACTTCCCTTAATCTCGACCTTTCATTCTAGAGATCCATTCCTAGACTTCTTCGCTGGTTAGCAGATGAAGATGTCATTCGCCATCCTACTGTGGATGGACGCGAAATCCAGAACTCGCACCACCGTTCAGAAACCCTGGAATGATTTCATTCCCAACGTATATACCAACAAACAATGGTTTCCCACGGCTTCAACGTCATCAACATGTTAGTCTGTTTCCCTTTATCACTGTCTTCAAACCCTTCCAGGTAGTGGTTAACCACCGAAGACGAGGGAAGGTAATACAAGGAAGGTTTCCCACGGTCTTCATTCCGTCTCCTCTCCATTCACTACCTGGTTCATCCCTTCCCTAATCTATCGCTGCTGGACTGGACATAGGTGCTTTGCAGGGGAGTTGAGCAAATGGAAGTAGTAAACAGAGGCGGCATTTGGAAAAGGGACACCCCGGAAACTGTCCGTTCAAGCTGTTCTTTGATTCAACGAAATGAACAAGTGCATTGTTTGCCAACAGACTCGGTGGAAACACCCCAATGAAAAATAAATCTGTACCATGTTGGGTCAGGTCCCAAGAGCGTTCCGCAGTCTTACCTTGGACTGGTCTTGGAAACAAACGGCTTTCCATGCAACCTGGGGTGGATGCATAAATGCTGCAAGTAAACCAACCATGCCCACCCACAAACCATGGTAAACGAGGGGGTGTCCTTGCAATATTTAGGGCATCCACCTTGCCACAGGTTCATGTTGCTCTGAAACAATTCGGACCCGTGCAGCGACCAACTGGTTTTTGCTACTTGACAAATGTCCTCTTGATGCTTGGATGAGTTCACCATGTTGTTCCGGAGCATGTGCGCTGATTGACGGTTGTTGGCTGCTGGGTTTCAGAAAAGGCGCCGATGACAATAACCCGTCATGAGTCCCCCAACTGAAAAAAAGGCAAGCAACATGTTCGAGATGGGTTTAGGCTACAACAACGCTCGCTCAGAACCCAAAAAGGGATCCCTTTCGCACAAGGAGGTTCTGCAAATGGCCGTTCATCTGAGGGCCTCCTTTGGTGCTTGGGGGCGACCCCCATTTGAGCCACACTCAAAACCCGGGGGCAGTCCCAGCAAGAAATAGTTGCGGCCGGCTTCTTAATTCTGGAAGCGTGGTTCTTGGATTGCGACCATTTTAGTACAGATCGGTTTTGATTGTGACCCCCATTTGCTTGTTGACCTCCACTTCACCTCCCTTCCCCCCCCCCACCAAGCCGCCCGAAGCCGCCCGAAGCCGTCGCTTTGCCGTCGACGCCAAAGCCGAAGCCTTCGCTGCGAGGACCAGATCTGCACGGGGCAGGCGGTGCACCTGGCCGCCAGCCGCGGGCACCTCATCTTGGCCCCTCGGAGACCCGAGCGGTCGACAGATCGAGTGGGTGGACGCTGGCGGTCCAAGAAAACCGGCTGAAAACCGGAGCCAGAAACAAGTGGTCCCCCCATCCAAACACCCACTTTTTCCAAAGTATTTTGTGAAAAGCCTGGGCTTCCATGGTACATAGCTTCTCTTTTTAGTAGAGGGTCGACATGAGACCCTAAAAAAATAAGAAAGGGTATTTGAAATAGGGGGTAAAACGGGCTCAGAATGCGGGCCCGCAGATTTGGTGCTTTCTTAGCTTCGGAAAACGAAGAAAATGACAAAGGCATCCAGTGGGTTGGCGGGCGGCTCACTCTTCCTTTCTTGAATGAGACGTGGGACCGACAAAATTTGTTTGGTTTCCCTGTAGAACCGGAACAAAATGGAGGGTACCGACTCGAAAAAGACGAGCCCCCAATTTGGGTCCGCGAAATGAGAGAGAGAGAGAGAGGGATTGAGAGAGTTGGACCTGTCCATGCGTTCGCATCCTTTTGGTGTCCGTTTAAATGTAATCCAAAGCAGTACCCTCACAAAGGAAAGACCGTCCAAATACACGGACCCGCAGAATGGCGTACACCTTCCCTTTTGAAAATGGTTAGCTTTGCTGTTTACCCGCTTGGGGGACTTACAAACGCAGCAAGTGGGTTTTGACCATGCCTACCACCGCGCGATTCGTTTCGTACTACCTAAGTTTGAGGTTCGGTATATTTTCAGTCTACGGTCAAGGCCTTTCTGGGGATGAGTTTGGTAATGCTGACCCCTGAATAACCCTCCCCACTTATGATTGAAGGGGGTTTCCTTTCCTAGGTCTCCCAGTAGTGCCCTTCTCTCCCCTTTTTTGTGGTTCCCTTACTAAAATCAACCACAGAAAAAGGGCAGCCTTACTCTAACCTCTCTACCGGACCTAGTTTTTAGTTGGAGTGCTTTCTTCCAGGGACCCCTTGATGAATACCTGAGGGCTTAGTTCAGGTCAAAGCACCAAAGTACGAGGAAAAGGCATTCGCCACGAATACCGAATACCCCATGTCATTGGGGAAAAGCCGATTGTCCCATGTGCGGGTTGCCATAATCTTTGGCTTGGTTGAGAAGCCAAAAGGAAGGCCACGATTTGGGTCCAAATCCCAAGTTTGAGACGTCACATGAGCCACAATCAAAACCCGGGTAGATGAAGGTTAGTAAGGGCCAATCCCAGCCACAAATAGCTGCGGCCGCCTTCTTAATCCTGTACACTGTTCTGGGTAGACCATTTTAGGACCGGGTTTTGATTGTGGCTCACATACTTAAGTTCATGGCGGTGTGGGTGAAACGCCAAGCCAAACGAGAAGAAGGTCTCTTAGACAGATCCCCACCCTCTCCTATTTCCGGCCCCAAGTAACCTCTAGGTAACTGTGAGCTTTACCTCTAGGGTTTTCCATCACCATATGTGTGGCTTGTCCCTTTTTGCCCCTGTTTTCTGGTGGTTTTAAAGGGAAACCAAAGGAAAGCCGCCAATGTGGGGAAAAGACGCACCCATATGTTACCTCTAGGTTTTACTAGAGGTATGATTTCCCCTATAGTGGCGACACGCATTGCACTGAGAAGTCCAAACGTGAAGTCACATTGAAGGAACGTGTTTGGCATTTGGGGGCGTTTCATTTTTGAGTTGGTACCGGTCTTAAAGAGAAACCAAAAGGACAAAGAAAACCATTTCGAGGCGGATCCGGAAAAAAAACGACACGCGTGTTGCACTCAAAGTAGTTGGTCACTAGTCAACCAGAGGCTGGGGAGTTGCCACTGGTTGCATTCCCTTTTTCCATTCGAAACCCACCAAAACGGGGGTACCCTTGAAAAAGATGCTCAAAAGGAAGATTGCTGGGAATCCCGTTGTTAACACAAAGAGCTTCGGTGTCTTTCTCACCACCCCGAAACTAAACTTACCCCAATGCCAGCCTTTTGACACATAGAAACCACACCAAGAACCATCAAAGCCAATTCAAGCCTTTTTGGGTGCACAACTGTTCATCCTTCTCTAAGGTTCTAGGGGTAACTTCCATTTCCATTCTTTCCAGGGATCCGAGTCTTTCTAGAAACCCACCAAAGATTCTGGGGAAATGGCGATCGGTTTGTGAGAAAAGAACGATGGCTGAAAAGAATGGACAAGGAAACTTTGGTGCATGTTGCTTGGCTGTTAGGACTTGAGAACTTTTTGCCAACTAATGGGTGTTCCACAAAACCACTAAAAGTTAGTCACTTTTAGCAGGGGAGCAGAAAGCAACTGAGTACGGTAATCCCTAGAGGTAAAGCCCGTGCCAGTTCCTAGAGGTTACTTGGGCTCAATGATCCGCGCAGCGTCACTTCTGACGCCAAGTGAACATGCAAAGACTTGCCGCGGCCGCCGTGTCTTCGACAGACCAGGTTTCAAGATCCAGCGAGTTGTGCAGAATGAGATGGTGTTCGGGAGGATGTATTTAGAGGTCAAAGTGTACATATTATGCATACATTCTAATATGTGGTATTATGTTATGTACTATAGTATTATATCATGTTATGGTATATCGTATTGTATGCACTTATATTGAATGTCAAATATACAGGAAGATAGATGAGTACTTGTTTCCATGTATATGAACTGTACATGAGGTTGTCTGTTCTGTTGCCTTCGAAAGAGACGGAAGCGGAAGCTCCTTATTTTGTCCAGAGGAAATTGCGAGGCCTCAGACGCTTGAATCAGGTGGAGTGCTTAGTAAGTGGTTGTTGCCCTTTGTTGGAGCCCGCTTCAAAAACTTACAACCACTGTGAGCGGGTGATTATCATGGCACTACCCACTAAACCACCAATCCAAGCCACCAATTTCAGGGAATCCATCGCTACTGGAATTACTGTGGATGGACGAAATGCTGCACCTGTTGGAATCCATGGGAAACCGTTGTTTGTTGGCAGTTACAGGGGAATCATCCTTTCAGGATTTGCTAGGTGGTGCAGGATTTCGTCCGTCCACAGTATTTTGAGGCTTGTTGGAAAATACTTAAGGAATGGAAGAAAGAAAGTGGGCTCAAGACAGGGCGGCCGATCAAAGCCACCGTCGCTTTAGGTGGAGCTGTTGCTCGAGAAGCGTGCCAGCGTGAACAGCCGCTCGTCTTCCGAGTCAGCACCTCCGACAGGGCTCAGATGCTATGAGCTACTTGGGTCTAGGTCCCCCAGGACAAAAAGGGGAGCTCCGAGCAAAAACCAGGGGACTCACTAAATACTTCCCGTGTTCTGCGAGAAACAGAGCAACACATCGTTTTGACCGTGGCTATCGGTTAACTTTCTGTGCCTGACCAAGGTGGCTAAACCGTGGATACATCATGACCAGGTGAGCCACGTGCTCAAAACCCGGAAAGATAAAGGTTAGCAAGGGAAAATCTCTTGCCATTAGTGGGTACCTTCGCCGATCGGTTTTGATTGTGACTCATCTGACCAGCGACAAGCAGCCTCAAAGTTCAACCCTTTCACGCGATGAACAGGACAACCAAAAGGCAACAGCCATTTGTCTTGGGGGGGTACTGTTCAGGTGGAAAACATGGGAGCCCCTGTTAGAGATCCATCTCGGCGAATGAACTCATGAGAACTTGACGGAGGAGAGTTGTGTTTTTCAGGGGATGCTCAGGCGAGGTGCACAAGAAGACCTGTTGGGTGGCTTGGGAGTTATCAAAGTTCGGAAGCTTACCAGCATGTGTTTCTTTGACTCAGTTGTTCAGTGGCACCCTTTTTCCCTCTTTTTTGGTGGCTGCCCCACTAAAAGTGGTCTTCCCCAAAAAGGGTTCCCTTTTTTTCCAGGGTCACTGAACAACTGAGTTGAGGAACGGAGTGCCTTGAGGTTGTTTCTCCGGTTCTAGGTTCTGGACGTTACTATACGAACTCAGAGCGCTGCTGGAGGTTTGTGTTTGCAAGCTCCGGATATCTCAATCAATAATGCGTTTGTTTGCTGACCTAGCGTCTTCTTCGGATTAATCTGGAGGAGCCATACTGCATTCCAGGACTTCTCAAATCTATTAGTTCCCCACTAAATAGAGCAGGGCTGCTTGCCCAATCGCTTGCCCAATAAAGACGGTCTCGTTTGCCGACAAAGAGTTTTGCAGGTCACTGGCCGTTGGCGTGGTTCCCTCCCGGTACAATTCGGCGTTTTTTTTTTGTTTAGTCTCATGTGCCCTTCAGGGACGGAACTTCCCCAAAGCCCAAGTCAGGGAGTGAGGTTTCAAACGTTCCGTGAAATGATTTAACTAGGTCCCCCAGTAGTGCCCTTTTACCCTTTTGTAGGGGGATGGTTCCCCCAATAAAATAGACGACAGAAAAAAGGGGTACCCTTATTCTAACCCCTACTGGAGGACCTAGACAACAAAGAAACTTTAGGGCTATTTGGCAGCGGTTCTTTGGGACGTATCTTTTTGGTGGAAACTTTGTGGATGTTCCATTGGACCCACAAAAAGTTGAGCACTTGTTGCAGAGGGCTCACCAGCAACCAAGGAAAGGGTTTGCTCCATTCAAATCCACTGCTCAGGCATGGTGCGCAGAGATGGGTATGAGCACTACGACGTCTTCCACGCTGCAGTCTTTAAGGAGAATCGAATCGAGTTACGGCTACAGCAAAGGTTTGCCTTCTTTCTCCCATTGCCAATGATGTGGGGGTATGAGGTCGAGGTCCAGGTTTGGTATATATTTACCACCATCTACTTAGGTCGGGGAATCGCTCAATGGTTTGCTTTGCCGTGTAGAAACTCACAGAGCGGAAGAATACAACCACGACTTTGATGGCTTATTCAGCAATGCAAAGTTGGCACAGCCATCCACTTAGCGATTAATATTCCAGTAATTGCAGTAGTGTGCGGTTTCTTTGGCCGCGTGGAAACCATAGCACCCTGTTTGCTGTGTTTCTTGGAGGGGGAAGCTGTTCCCAAATCGCAAAAGAAGGCCCCCCCCTTCTTTTTCCCATGTAAACTCACCCGAGGTCTGGACTTCTTTTCCCAGATTGGATATTTGACTTCAGACGCCCAGTCCAAAAACCACACAACCATGTAAGACAGTGGCACCCTTGCTGTTGTCTCCCTCTTTTCCCATGCAAACTCTCTGGAATTCTCTTCCCACGCGACACGGACACGCACACCTCAGGAGGGCCGCGGCGGCGATTCCGGGAACCTCGGGCTTCGAAAGCGGGTCCGGACAAAAAGCGACCCAAGACCAGATTGTTTTTGTGGTAGGCCAAATATTCCCGGATTTGCTGTACATATATATATATACACCTTAGGGTAGACTAATTACTTGTTCACAAAAAAAAGGTATGTATGTCGATGTAGTTTCCCGAGATGTGGGTCAAGTTTCTGGGGTTCGCGACCTCAAGTGATGTGTTTGTTGTTTGGCGGGGTTATGATGATGTTTTAGCTCGCCGCAGGATTTGCAGGGCTCCCTTTCCGTTTTGTTATTGGTTTTGAAGCATTCCCTTGGCCCATTTGAGGTGAGGTTCCTTTCAATGGCCCTGGCTTGAAAGCATTTTACGTGGATGTTTGGCTGCCGGAGCCAAATCTCCAATTTAACAGCCTGTTGGAGCTACCTGTGGTTAGAGATATTGCATTGGGGTCCCAGTCGGGATGACTCTTAGGTGGCGTTTTTGTTTGTCCTGTCCTGTTTGGAACTCTGCATAAAAACATGCTTGGCTGCTGTGGATGGAACAAAACCATTTTGCACCACCTAAGAAACCGTGGGAAAGGGGATCATCCGAACCCAGGGGGGTCCTAGGTGCAGGACTTCGCCACCATCCGCGATCCTTTTGCGATCCTTTTCACCACGGAGCCAAAGAAGTTGGAAACTTTTCGCAGAGGGTTGAGCCATCCAGCTGGGTGCTTACCCCTGAACTCCACCGCGAGGGTAGAACTTGTCGCTTGTTTCGCTTCTGTCGGTTGAAGGCAACTTCCATTTTGTGTGTCAGAGAATGTGTTGTTGTTGTTTTCCCCATGTCGGTTTCAAAGGGCGGTTTCACTGCGGGACATAGTGTTTATCTTTTCCCGGAGACTTAAAGCAATGGAGACGAAAATATGTGTATCAAAGGGAAAATGACATGTCGCATAAAGATAAATTCTTGACGACTCATTTGTGACAACTGAGCAAGTCTCCTTGAAAAGCTTCTTGCGCTGGTTTAAAACCTTACCTTTTCCGCCATATCTAAAAGCCATCGGTGTTCAAAAGGCCGTCCAATCCCACAGATAGCCGCGTTTTTTTAGGGCTGACTGGAGCCAAAGCTCGAAGTGTCCATGACACCCCAGCCTCCCGCGCGCTGCATTTTGCCAAGGGATGTTAGGACTGTTACTTTTGGCCAACTCATCATGTTGGGAAACATTTTTTTCGCATTTTTGCTTATTGCGGTTTAGTGGTTGAAATCCAACCACTTAACCGCTAAAGTTTTTATATTTGTTGCTCCCCTTTCAACGTCAGCCAAGTCATGGGGGTGTCCCAGAAAAAAGCACATTAGTCACTTCCCAAGTCATGGGGGTGTCCCAAAAGAAACACCAAAAGTTCGTCACTTTTCGCGGGGCTTCGCAGACTTCGCCCACCCGCCCACGTCAGTGAGGATGATCCGATTCCTCTGCGCCATGAATGCTGACCCCAACGGCACCAACTTGAATGGCCTCACGAGTGGCCGGACCGAAAGCTCCAGTGGTTCCCTGCTCGGTCTTGGGCTTCTTAGGGTTTTCGGTGTTGGGATTCTTTTGGGACGATTGGGGTTTTATTTTGGGGTTTTCGGTGTTGGGATTCTCTTGGGATGATTGGGGTTTTATTTTGGGGTTTTCGGTGTTGGGTTTCTGTTGGGAGTATTGGGCTTGGGTTGTCACAAGTGTTTCTACAGAGTTTCTGTTGGGTGTTCTTCGGTGTTGCTTGTTTTTGGTTGAAGGTGGTCTTGGCTTTTCCGGAAGCTTCATGTTGAACAACCAAAGAAAACCCTGCACGCAACTATCTCAGGGGATCCAATATGCTATGTTCGGTTAGTAAACAGTTATTCAAGTAACCCTTAATTACTTTGGTGCATGTTGCTTGGCTGTTAGGACTTTAACTTTTTGCCAACTCATGGGTTTGCCACTAAACAACTCAGCAAAACCAACGCCATTTGTTGAAACAAACGGTTTCAGTACATGCCGGACATGGCCCATTTCGCCTTTGAACATCAACCGGCTTGCTTCAAGCCCTCCATTTGCGGATACTTCCCCTGGAAAGAGTGAGAAACTCTGCCCAGGAATGAATGCGATTCCAACTTTAGAACCAACAGGGACAATGCACAAAATATTCTGAAACGCAAATGGAAGTATATGGGTGTTGATCAAAATATCTTTTACATGGGGGTTGATCAAATCAAAGGTCCAAATGGAAGAAGTGCTCAGGGAATCTCCCCAATTTGGTATCCCCGAAATGCGCTTAAAGGTTGATACAAGGCTTTCCCAAGACATGGCAAATTTCGGCATCACGAACAAACTGATGTCTTGGCCTGTCTTAAAATCCACTGGTAAGGTCAAAGCCGCCAGGCAGCAGGACTACCCCTTACCCCAAATACCCACTTGTTCTAGGGTATTTTTTGAAAAACTGGTCTTTGGAGTCGGGGGTAAGAATCATACCCAAAACAGCCGAGCTAGCAGGGCGTGGCGGGTAGCAGAGAACCCGCGGATGAACAGACAGCGTCCATTTAAAATTCGTGGCTTGGCTAGGGGTACCGTCCCCATTGGCTCCCAGTTGTATCACTGCCAAACTGGTGAAACATCCTCCTTTGGCTTCTCCTTGTTTGGGTCTTTGGGTGGAACATTGAAAGTCTGGAAAAGCGAAGAACTACCTAACCCTTGTGGTTTCCGATGGGAGAGAAGCACATCATGATCTGCGCAGCCGGCTTGTGTGGCTGGATAGCATCAAACATGCACCCCAAAACCACTGACTAAGGGTTACTTGAACTCGGTTGCTTTCTGCTCCCCTGCTAAAAGTTTAACTTTTAGACAACCCCATTCTCCCCAGTTGTGTGTTTTCCCGAAAGATGCCCTGGATGCACGTTAATCTGCCGGCAAAAAGGAGGCCCCAAAGGCACTGTCAGGCGGCTTGTGTGCCAATGTGATATACCGCAAGTTGAAATCAGGACGCGTAATGTATACCTCAGTGCTGTACCTCCACACCACCAAACAACCCACCTGAACATGGCCTTGACACGGAACCCAAAGATCCCAGCAAATGCCTTTCGGGACGAATCGCTTGCTTAGTTACCAGTATGGTACGTAGGTAACCCTTCGCCATCTTGCTTTTCGGTTTTCAAGCGTGGTTGCTTGGTTACCTACTATAGAGGCTAGATCCCCCAGTACTGCCCTTTCTCACCCTTTTTTTGGGGAGGGTTTTTATACTAAAATAGACTGCCGAGAAAAAAACAAGTTGGTACCCTTAGTTCCCTTTTACCCTTTGTTGGGGGAGGGTTTTGCTACTAAAATAGACAAAAAAAGGTTGGTACCCTGAACCCTGACCTCTCTACTGGAGGACCTAGACCACTAAACCAACTAAACAGAACTAAACATCTTCCAATCGGATGGTACCCTAAACCCTGACCTCTCTACTAAAAAACCCTAGGGAAATGTTGCCCTCGCACAACTTTCGAACCCGAGGCCTACACGTCGCCTTTCAGACGGGGAACGAGGACACCATTCGAGCTGTCCAGGTGGAGGCATTCGCTGTCAGACTCGATGGCCAGCGGAAAGGCAACTGATTTGACGCGTTTGATGCGAATTTGACAACATTCAGAATGGACATGTTAACTTCCATTTTCTTAACTCAACTGTTGACTTCCATGTTAACTTTAGAGCCTCCGGCTCAGTCCGCCGACATTGTCCTCTCCCTTTTCTCCTTCTTCCTCTCTCCCTTGTCTCCCTCGTGTGTTCTGGCGTCCTTTCTCCCTCCCTCTGCTCCCCATCCTTCCCATCCCCCCAAGCCTCTCTCTCCTCAATCTCCCTCTCTCTGTCTCTCTGTCTCTCTCTCCTCAATCTCCCTCTCTCTGTCTCTCTGTCTCTCTCTCCCTCTCTCTCTCTCTCTCTCTCTCTCTCTCTCTCTCTCTCTCTCTCTCTCTCTCTCTCTCTCTCTCTCTCTCTCTCTCTCTCTCTCTCTTGTCTCCTCTCTCTCTCTCTCTCGCTCTTTTTGTTTCTCTGTCTCTTTCTGTCTCCCTGTCTTCCTTCCTGTCCACGCCCCTCTACAGAAAAAGGGTACCCTAACTCGAACCTCTCTACTCTCTCACTCTCTGTCTCTCTCTCTCTCTATCTCTCTCTCTCTCTGTCTTTCTGTGTCTCTCTTTCTCAGTCTCTCTCTCTCTCTCTCTCTCTCCCTTTCTCTCTGACTCTCTCTCTCTCTCTCTCCCTGTCTCTCTCTCTCTCTCCCTCTCTCTTCTCTCTCTGCATTGCCGCGTCACGTCCCCCTGAGGTGCCTCGATGTCCAGGCACTGCCCCTTCATGACCCTGAACTGTCATCTCACTATTGGCTTTCCCTTGATTTCCCCTTCATGTCCTTTTCACGTTTCCCATGATGTCCCGGTCATGTCCCTTCCATGCCTTTCAACTCCCCCTTCAGGTCCCTGACATTTTCTCGGTATGTCCGCTTCATTTTCCATGTATGTCCCGTTCTTTCGTTGCGAGTCATTTCCCTACATCTCCCGTCGTGCCGATTGGTGTCCTTGTGCTTCGTTTCCCTCTCATTCCCCCTGCACTCCCCTTGTTTTCCTTTCTGTCCCTTGCATGTCATTTCCCGCTGCTTTCCTGTCATGTCGACTTCCTATTTCCTCCCCTCATTTCCTTGCACTTCCTTGCATTTCCCCTTTGCTCCCCAATATTTCCCGCAAAAAACGATGTTTTTCCAGCGTTTTCGCAACTAGGAGGGCAGGAACCCCAAACCAGCAAAGAGCCGGCAGGGGGAATCGAGCCTGGGACCCCTGTTTTGCGACACCGGCTCCCCGAAGACTACGTTTAGTGGAACGTCATCAAATTGCCGCGCGGTCCGTGGGGGAGGGGGGTCTATCCTCTCTTAGATATCCGACACGCCGAATAATGTCGGCGGACTTACAGATTCAGAATTTGACAAGTTAATTTGACAAGAAAATGCAACATATCTTAACTTCCATTTTCTTAAGGATATGTTGTATTTTCTCCTCGCTGGTTCTAAATGACATGTGTCTATCGCTGCTGGAGATATCTTTTTCCAGGCAACAAAAGCAATCGGGGGATGTTTTCGTGAGATGTGCAAAACCTTCTTGAAAACAATTTCGCCCATCCCCAAATAGGGTCGCAGCGTCAAATCGCGCATGAAGATCCCATAGGTTAATGAATGGAAAGTGCAGAAGCATCCAGGTCTAACAATTGCCAACACAAGCTGCCCAAACTGCAAATCAGTGTGTCTTTTGCGAGGAAACCCCGTTTGGGTTGGTTTTAGAGGGCAACGCCACAATAAAAGCCACACTTTTTTGTGAAAAATACACCTCCCCAAAGTCATCTTGAGATCGGGAAAAAAGAATGTCCACACGAATCGAATCAATTCTTGAATCCCCAACTCCCGGTTCAGGGGATTTCCTTCATGCCCCTTTGGTGGTTTCCACGTGGGTTCCCTGAGTTTAGGGACAGCCAAAAGGACTTATGATTCCAAACAGCTGCCAGTGGGCAGTTGTTGATGTTTTTGTTGGCGCTTTCTAGGATTCCAGCTTTTTTCCCCAAACCAGGATGCGACAATCCTGGGACGTTTAAAGTGGAATCGCCCACCGAGGTCCTCTTTCCCCCAAAAGTAAGAGCGTGTAGTTTTTAGAGGATACCTACTTTGGGGGTTGATGAAACGGAACCTGTGACCTGTCCGGATATGATTGACTGAATGGATGTCTTTTGGAGACTGCTGGCTCCAGAAAAGCCACAGGAACACCATATGTTGCACCCAGAGGAACACCCCCGTTTTGGTTGCAAAGGGGGACACCTGAAGGACACCCACAACTTTTTTCGGGGAGTTCCCATGGGCAATTTTTGAAGTGGGCGTATCTTAAAAATAGGGCTGGTTTCGGCTGTCCTGTTGGTGTCTCTTTGTTTGTAAATCCAAGGGAGGGCCATTTTTTAAATGCGTGTTTTGTTTTTCAGGGTGGGCGGTTTTTCTGGCTTTTTGGCTTTTGTGGCTTTTGCGTGAGTTGCTTTCTCAGCTGGCTTTTCGCATGCTCTACATTCCCTGTTCCTCTCAGGCATGGCTTTGGCTTTTCGCATCCGTTGCTTTCGCAGTTGGTTTCTGCCCATATCCTCAGCATCACCAGTTCCTCTGTGGCAAGTGTTGTTTTTCTCTCAATACAACTATCTATATATATGTTTATGTTTTTTGAGTATGTTTATGTTTATGTAATGTATGTAGGTATGTAAGTATGTAGGGTATGCAACGTATGCAACGTATGCAATACATGTATTTCTGCATGTAGGCATGCATGCATGTAATCTATGTAATCTATGTATGTCTATACGTATGCACTTCTTCGAACATCATGGGAGGCCGCCCCCCCACCCCCAACCCCCCGCTATTTTTTCGACTGGTTACAGAGATTAAAGTGCACCCTTGGTTGAATCATCACTTTTTAGAACAGCATGGGGGAGGGCCCCTCCCCGCTGTAGGCATACATGCGCATGCATACCCACCTGCCTTGCCGGAGAGGGGCTGATGATGCTGAGGATGTAGGAAGCCAAGGCAATATAGAGCCACTATCTGCTGGTGATGCTGGGGATGTTGGGGATGTTGGCTGCGGGCGATGTTCACAACAATGCTGATGATGTTGACGGACTAGTGTGAAATACGTACATTTCCCGAGAAAATGCTGTAAACTACAAACATCTTTCTGGCCAAGACAAAAAACAAAAACACAAACAAAATTAAACAAGAACAAATCCGAAACTAAATCGCGACCCAAACCCAAGTGAGTGTCCTTTGTGGTTGTTGATGATTGTAGGTAGGATATGGCTAGGATCATTTGCCTGGTTATCAATGCTACATGAAACAATCCGCTGAGATTGACTTGTCAAATACACTATCATCCGCGATCGCGATGCTGGCATGTGTGTGCTTGAGTCTCCGTACCTCTTTTCCGGTTTAAGGAGAAATCAAAGGGCCACCGTCATATTTGACACATACCCATCAAAGCAACCTATTTGAAGGTTGGTTTTGAAGGGGTCACGGGTCTCAATAACATGTTATAGTGTTTTAGCAACACAAATTTACTATGGGATGTTTGGGGAGCTCTTTTTTTGACACCCCATGGCCCTTTATGGATCCATAGGATCACATGTCTCCCATGAGCTCAGCTCTGGAAGCGCAGGCGAAGAGATTGGCGCCTCAGGCAGAGGAGAGTGACACCGACGTGGAAAAGGAGGCGGGGGTTGAATCTGAGTCAAACCGTTCCTTCCGTTCGTTCCCGCGTTCCCCACTCGCACCAGCAAGCCAAAAAAATAGAATTTCTCGGTTTTTGTTTGCCTCAAAAGCCACAAACCCCGACCGTTCCTCAGTTGACATGAAATTCGGAGAGATGTTTGTGTCCAACCACTTAGGCGGTTCGAAGTCTTGGGTGAGCTGTCTTTTTTCCGGGGTAGCTTTTTGGTTGCCGTGCGAATGGTTGCCATAGGGCAGTGTGGGATCACTCGGGGTTTATCCAACGACTTCTGTGATACAAGTTGGTATCTCCCCCTTTATCTGGCTAAGGCTCAAAAAACCGGTACCAAAATGGCTTGCCCTGGTAAGTGGAAACATGGACCAAAACCTGCGGTTTGCCCCTCCTGTTTAATTTTGAGCCACAGCCATATGGACTTAGTTTTTGGGAAGCCCCTTTTGTTGTATCACAGAAGTGCTCATTTCCCAGAGCTCTGCCATAGAAAGTTTGACCTTCCAAAAAAAACTTTTCTTCGCACTTTTTGAGCTGCTGGACTGTAGTCACTTTTTGGGGAAGACCCTGTTGGTGGAAAATAAAAAGTTTCGGCTTGTTTTTGCCAATCCACCCAGCAAGTCAGAAAAAGGGGGTGTTTTGCATGATTTCCCTTCAACCGAATCCCAAAAAGCGACCCTGGACAAAAAAAAGCTCACCCGAGACTTCAATCCACCTGGCGCGTAATGGAATGAACTGGAAGAGGATTCCCGAAAACAGGAAACCATTTCTCGATCCCCGCACCAGCAAGTTGGGGGTCCTCGGGTCATTTTGAGCCAAAGCCGACATTCAGAGGCACGCGTCCTCGCCTCACTTGCGCGTGTTCGACCTGAGCTTTTGGTTTCCCAAGCTTGGCTAGGTCCCCCAGCAGTGCCCTTTTACCCTTTGTTTGGGGGGGGATGGTTCCCCTACGAAAATAGACAAAAAGAAGAAGAAGTTGGTAGCAACTTATTCTAACCTCTCAAATCTGGAGGACCTAGGCAAGTGAGTTGCATGTTTGGTCCGCCCGGGTCTGTCTTCCAATTTCTTGGGGCCGGCTCGTGCACACCTGGCAAGCCGCAAGCTGCCGAGTATTCCATAGGCTCAACAAAACTCAGTTGCTCAGGTGGCACCAGGTCTTTTTCCCTCTTTTTTTTTTGGTGGCGCCGCTAAACTTCGGTCTTCCCCAAAAAGGGTTCCCTTTTTTTTCCCGGGGTCACTGATGAACTAAGGTGTTGTTGAGTTTACTGAGATTGACATATGGTGGATGAAATCCAGACGCACCAAGAAATGCAACCATCGGAAACCGCTGTTCGTGGGCCTTTGCAGAAAAGAAAACACATTCCAGGGTTTGTTACGTGGTGGTGGCGTTTATCCACAGTATCCAGAAAAAAAGGAAACTTGAAGGAAGGGATCAACGAACCAGTCAGTTCAGAGGCGAGGTCTTGGATGGAACCTGTGGGTGTGCCCTATTGAAGCTACACCATCGGTTTGGAGCGCCAAATCCCTATGACATACCCAAATCAGAACAAAGCCAACAAAAGCAAGTACAGTCAACTTTGGAAGAAACTGACACCCAGCAGAGCATGTGTGTGGTTGACCCTGTCGTCCTCTAAAAACAGTCGAAAGGCCGCTTCTTGCAACGAGAATGGCCTTCAAGAGTTTCGGAGTTGTCATCCCAGGTTGTTCCCACCCATGATGCCCTGTCTCCTTTTGTTCCCTTCAAAATGAACCAACAAGGGTGTGAGGATTTTTTTAAAGGCCGCCCACGCGCTCCTTTTGCTTTCCATGTTCTTAAGAACAGTTTAATCTTTTCCGGCCTTCAACCATGGTTTCAGAGTGGTGCATTTTGCTTGGCTGTTAGGACTTGAGAGCTTTTTGATCCAACGAATTTGGGTTTTCCGTACTAAACCACTCAAAGTTGGTCGCTCCATTGCAGGGCTGCACGCAGATTTCGCCACGGTTTCTCCACGTGGTGCGAACTGGGATCTCTTCCAAAGCCAGCCATGGAGCGATTCCAAAGCCCGACACGTCTCAGACTCCACGCAACGGCGTCTCGAGAGCGCGTCTCGAGCGCTTCGTTGGGCCAAGTTGGCTTCGAGATCGCTCGGTGGAGGTGGATTTCGATGACCACAAGCGCGAGGAAACGCCCTTGGAGGTTGGCATCAGGCCGGAGGTGTTTGGGATGAACCGTGGGGGTCTCCTGCGACACTGCGGATGGTTGCGAAATCCAGAAATCGCGCCACTTTGAAACCAGGGGAAATCATGGTTTGTTGGTTTTTGCAGGGGAATCATCAGTTTAGGGTTTCTTGGGTGGTGCGAAACGGATTTCGTCCATCCACACTACTTGGGGGTTGATCCATGTTCCCGGCCATGGGTAACCTTTTCCCATTTAGGTGGGGAAGGCCATTTTTATGTAAAGGACCTTTGATCAACCCCGATTTAGTGAATCTCCAGCAAGGAAAGTCGGTCAGTCGGTCCGGCATTCCCGCCCAGTGTGACGGCATGGCTAGTCTGGCAGCAAAGCCGCTCGCTGGCATGCCTGGCCTCGGCACGCATGGGAAGAGGCGCGCCCTTACTCACTGACGGCGGGGTAACAAAAAGCGGCGTCAACGCCTCTCGCGGAGCTGGGAGGTGCTAGACACAACTACCCCATGGCGCACCCCTCCGGCACCTTCAAACTCGACATCGGCCCAAAGGTGAAGTTGGCCGCCCGCGTGTGTTTGGGCAGTGACACACAACCTCCTCCAGGCGCCTCAGGAGAGGTAGCGGGGCGATGATGGTGCAGACGTAACAGAGCATCGAATTCACAGTTGTGAGACAAACAAACTCTACTTTTAAGTGACAAAACTGTCATCTCGGAATTCGGTGTGCCGCGTTCCAACTTGGTGGGAAGGTAATTATTGACTTGAATTTGCAGAAAACATTGAAAGGCTCGTTCGGGGTGTTTTCAGAAATAATACAAATTCAATGTGTTCTAAAAGTAGTTTATTCTACGCACCCATAGTCAATTTGTTTGATGCCGCAGAAATCTATTAATTTCTCAAGGCGCATCGTTCCTTTGAGACGCCACAAGAGGTCCATGGGTTTCGGGACATCTCTGAAACTAGGTCCCCAGCTAGGTGCCCTTCTCTCCCCTTTCTTGGGCCCTACTAAAATAGACAAAAAGCAAAAAAGTTGGTAGCCTTATTCCAACCTCTCTACTGGAGGACCTAGTTTGGGCCCGTTTAGGTTTTTCAGTTGTTCGTTTCGCTGGTGCGGTTCCGTTGCAGGTATTCGGTGAGTTGGCGTTTAGGGGTTCAGGTGTCCGAATTTAAGCCCCAAAACTTGGTAGGGCTTAGGTCTTCGGGGTTTAATTCGTCGCCTTGCATCTCAGCTTGTCGAGTGCGAGGTCAGCACCTCAGTATCCCTACTCCAAATACCCGGCCCGTTTTGGGGTATGATGTCGACCCCTCTACGAAAAAAAGAAGGTATTTACCATGGGGGTTCCAGGTTTTCAAAAAAAACCCTGGAAAAGGTGTGTATTTGGAGTAGGGGGTGGCAATGGGGAGCATCAGCAGAGCATTCCTGGTGGAGACCCGGGCTTCCGAACATTCGTGATGTTTCACGCAGGAGTCGGGCTGATCGGGTGCTTGTAACACATTATCTTTTCAGGGCTATCATTTTTAAGATTGCGACTGCGAAGCCCGACGAACCAGGCGGAGTTCTGAGGAGCTTTTGACCCTTACTCAACTATGTTGTGTTCAGGGCATGTTCAGAGCCCAGGATGAACCCATTCGCTGGGTTGCGGGGCTCTATACTTTCAGGGACGACCATCTCAGGGGTAAACAAAAAGTTCATCTAAAAGGGTTGGGTGCATTTCCGTGCGTGAAGGAGCTGCTATGTCAGTAGGAGGAAGAAGAATATGTCCTCCCAATTCCCCCCCCCCTCCTTTTTCCCCATTGCTTCCCAATATGTTCATGGGTTCCATTATTCCCCCCCAGCCCCATGTTGACCCATGGGTGGACAAAATCCTGCACCACGTTGAAACAATGGTTGGAACCCTTGTTTGTTGGCATTTACAGAATCGAATCCTTTCAGCGGTTTGTTCGGTGCGAAACGGATTTCGCGAAACCATCCACGCCTTCCCATAGTCCCATGTCCCAAGCTTAGCGATTGCGCTTCCTCGGCGGCTTCGGGGGGTCGTGTGTCCAACACACCGCGTGTCTGTTTGTAGGCAGACACATGCCTACAAATACGTATGTACGTATGTGTATATATATATATATGTATATATATATATGTAATGTATGTATGTATGTATGTATGTATGTATGTATGTATGTATGTATGTATGTATGTATGTATGTATGTATGTATGTATGTATGTATGTATGTATGTATGTATGTATGTATGTATGTATGTATGTATGTATGTATGTATGTATGTATGTATGTATGTATGTATGTATGTATGTATGTATGTATGTATGTATGTATGTATGTATGTATGTATGTATGTATGTATGTATGTATGTATGTATGTATGTATGTATGTATGTATGTATGTATGTATGTATGTATGTATGTATGTATGTATGTATGTATGTATGTATGTATGTATGTATGTATGTATGTATGTATGTATGTATGTATGTATGTATGTATGTATGTATGTATGTATGTATGTATGTATGTATGTATGTATGTATGTATGTATGTATGTATGTATGTATGTATGTATGTATGTATGTATGTATGTATGTATGTATGTATGTATGTATGTATGTATGTATGTATGTATGTATGTATGTATGTATGTATGTATGTATGTATGTATGTATGTATGTATGTATGTATGTATGTATGTATGTATGTATGTATGTATGTATGTATGTATGTATGTATGTATGTATGTATGTATGTATGTATGTATGTATGTATGTATGTATGTATGTATGTATGTATGTATGTATGTATGTATGTAATGTATGTATGTATGTATGTATGTATGTATGTATGTATGTATGTATGTATGTATGTATGTATGTATGTATGTATGTATGTATGTATATATGTATATGTCTTACCTGCTTGTTCACTTGTTTGTTTATATATGCACATGTGCGCAAAAAAGACACCCTCCCCGGGCATTGACCATTAGGCTGTTCCAAGTGGAGTGTTGGAGTTCCGATCGTTTGGTTTTTCTCAACCTGAATTCACCGCAAAACTCATCTAATTGTTGAGCTAGCGCACGTTCCTTGCTGGTTCCCGGCCATGCCCTTGGACAGCTTGGAGGGATTGAGCACATCCACGAAAAGTTGAGTTGTGCAAAGGAGAAAAGGGAGCACTAAGGTTCATTAACAATTTGCAGGCCCGAGGTTTAGGTTTTCTTTCTTTTGCTAACTCAGCATGTCAGTCTAGGGGTCTTTAGCCGGGGCTTGGCTTGTCCAGTTCCCTTCGACCAATGCAGGCGCCCCATCCATTCGTGAAAAAAATGCATTCTTTTTGCGCGCGTTTGCCGTTTCAAAGCAAAGAACTTTCGCAAAAATCGCACACGCAGAGACTGAATTCCAGCCACCAGCCGCCAATTGCCTTTGAACGGCAAGCATGTTGCTTGATGCCCAAAGCAGCACAGAACAAAACACCCACAAGGAGCTTAGCGGGTTTGGCCCACATGCCATCATGTTCAGAAGGCCCCAATCCTGCCTGAGGGGCGTTGCCTTGGGTTTCCCAAATCAAAATCTAGCCCCGCGCCTTTTTCCAACCAAATCGACTGCTTTGGCGCAAGATGTTTGTTTTTGCCGAGGGTAAATGCGTGGATTTTCCCCTGGAGGTTGGGGCCCAGAATTCGGCGGAACTGCCCCCATTCATTTTGAGTGGACTTGCCTACTCTTTGATTCCGACCGTCGCTTTGAACGCTCGCTAGGTGGGGCAAGATGAACAAGGCGCGATCCCGCCATGTCACTGCATTGAATTGGCGAAATGTGACTCGGTGCCCCAGCTAAATGCCCTTTCTCACCCCCTTTTTTGGGGCGATGGTTCCCCTACCAAACTAGACAAAAAAGAAAAAAAGGGTACCCTTATTTGAACCTCTCTACCGGAGGACCGATGAATCAGCACCGTTCCCTGCCTGCCGCATGGCACCTGATTGAAAAGCACTTGAAGAGGAAGTGGATCTTCCAGGCAACCTCCCGGATGCCACGTTTGTGGGATCCGTGTCTGAAAATACATTTGTCGATGTGCCCTATGACCTGGGCTACCCTTTAACCGCCCCAAAAGGCAACCGACAACACGAACACAGACAGACACATATTATGCACATACTCAGGCAAACACACAGAGTTGTGAAAACCGTGGCTCCCTTGAAAAGGGAGAACAGAAGGCTGCTGATTGCTATGTTGAAGCAGAAGGTTGATGCTGCCCAGCTGGGAAGGAAGAACCATTGTTAGGAGTCAAAACACCCAGTACGGCTGATTTTCTTATGGCTGCATGTAGCTGGTGATCGCATGTTTTCTCTCGAACATGTTTGACTCTACACCACGTGTGCCAGAGTCTAAACACCCTTTGTCTTCCTTGTAAGGGAAGCTGTGACCATGGCAGACATAAAGAGTTTCAACCGTGGCACGTGCATGTGTCTTGTGTGTGTGTTGCGGGCGTGCTGTGCGTGTGTGTGTGTGTGAGTTTTATGTCTTGTGTGTGTGTGTGTGTGTGTGGGTGTGTGGGTGTTGTTTTTGCTAGCGGACCAGAAACCGCGCTCAACGGCGTGCACTTTTTCCCTGCAACCCTGCATAGCACGCGGGAACCACTGCTTCGCCCTGACACTGCGCGCACACCTGACCATGAGAACCGCACCCGCTCGACTGCTTCGTTATAACACGCCTGACCATGGTAAGTGCGTCGTTACAACAATCCGCGCACGCCTCACCATGGTAAGCACACCTGCCCTACTGCTGTGTACGCGCACGCTTGACAATGGTAAGCGCCTGGCAACGGTATGCGCGCCCGCTCGATATGCGATATGTGCCGCCGTATGTGTGGTGGGCGTTGTGTGTGTGAGTGCGGGTGTGTCTGTGTGTGTGTGTGTGTGTGCCAAGTTCATGTTCGTCTGGCCGATGTGTCAACAGGTAAATCTGGGCGTGAGCAAAACCAAGAGACCCTTTCTTACCCTTTTGTTTGGTCCATTTAAAAGGAATCTGGGGAGTAAGGGGGCAGGGTTTTTAACCCACAGCCACATTCACAATCCAAACCAAGTAAAGAGTAGCTGAAAGCGGTTCTCTGGCCAGCACTGGGTCCGGGAAGGGAATGGATGAGATTCCCTGGTAAATACCAACATACCATGGTTTCAGCCATGGTTTCAAAGTGGTGCGAAATGGAAACGCCCATGTTTCGAGTCCCCAACCTCAATACCAACAAACGCTACGTGGTTTCATTCCCATGGTTTCATGTCGTGGCGCGATTTCTAGATTTCGTCCAGTGCGCCTTTGAAGGTCATTCCAATCCCACACTTCAGAAAGTAGGAATCGTTCCCCTAAAATGGTTGGCTTCCTTTTGGTTTCGTCCTTAAAGCCATCCAACAAGGGACCCTTATTTTGCAAACCCCCCTAGAACTGGGCAAGGAAAAAGGACAGTTCAAACGGCCCGACTTTGCGAATGAGTCGGGCGTCGGTGCCTTGGTCTTCACGTGGACCTGTTCAAATGGAGCACCCAGGTGGACTAATTAGGTCCCCCAGTTTGGTGCCCTTTCTCACCCCTTTTTTACTAAAATAGACTACAGAAAAAACTCGACTCCAGTAGATTAACCTGTTCTAGGTCCCCCAGGGGTGCCCTTTTGCCAACTTTTTTGGGGCGATGGTTCCCCTACTAAAATAGACCAAAAAGAAAAAACAGCGGATACCCTTATTCCAACCTCTCAAATCTGGAGGACCCAGGTGGATGTTCGCGGCGCCGTGAGGAGTCTTTGTCCCGTGCGGCGCCTCTCCACATTGGCAGCCTCAAGGTCTTCATCCACCGCGCGCCGGACCGAATTCGGAGCGTAAAAACCGCCGAAGTCGGTGGGCTTTCGCAATATCCCCACCCCCTAAAAAATGGAAGTGGGGGGGTGAACCCCTGGAATTCCATTTGTGGTAACCCATCTTCCCTTTAACGGGGAAGACTAGATAAATGGAATTGGGGACACTTCACCCTCTTTTTCCTTGAAGGTAGGGGGGAAATCTTTTGTCGGGGCGTGTGACCCCAAAAATTTAGACGCCTATAGTTCGGTGAGATCAGTGGGGGTCTTAGTAGTTCCCTTGTTTGACTGAAACACCACCTCTCTGCCAGGTGCAAATGGCTGTGGCTCAAAAAACCGGTACCAAAAAGCCCCCCTTGGTAAATGGAACCAAAGACTAAAATCCGCGTAACCCTAGCTCCTTAATTTTGAGCCACACCCAAATGAGTTGTGTCCTGGCTCCTTTGGGCCATACCTGTTTTGCCTTGGATCCCTTTCAGGGCTGGACCCCTTTTCCCTTTAAAGCCCCCCCACAAACAGCAGGTACCCTCAAAGAAATACACAGACCCATGTGGCAATTGGTGGCCCTCGCGCGGCCACCTGAATGCATCAAGCCTCTCATCTGGGCATGTGGGTGTGGCTCAAAATTAGACAGGAGGGAGTTACGCAGGTGTTGGTCCATGTTTCCACTTACCAGGGCAAGCCATTTTGGCACCGGTTTTTTTAAAGCCACGGCCATGTGTCAAAACAGGGTGATGTGAAAGTGTTCCTTTGCCGTCCCATGAAGCCAACCTCAAAAGGAGGCATAAACAAAACAGACCCGTACGGGATACGGCTTTTCAAAGAGGGGCCCGGTTCGGATCAGATAAAAGGAAGCTCCCCGAAGGCCCAATGTGAACGTCACTTGGGGCGGTAAGATCATGCTCCCTGTGAGTTCCACGTTGCGAAGCTGCATTTGGGCATGTGGGTCATCTACATCAAGTGGAAGAAGGGGATTGTTTGATGTTTTGATAGTTTGAACTCTTTTTGGTGTTCAGTTGCTTGGCGGGCTGTTTCACTTATTTCGGGAAAGTCGAAGAAAAGAAGCGTGTTCAACCTTTGCGACGGCGTTTTCTCATCAGCTGGCTCCCTGGTCCAAAAGCACAGCCGCACCGCCCGGGCAACTAGTTCGCCTTTGGGGGCACTAGGCTCGGATCGGAGCCCGGCATGTTCCGGGATCAAGGTGTTCCGGGCCGGCATGGGTACCCTCAGTTGGATTTGGATTTCACCACCCCTTGAGGCTCAATTCTGAGGTTCGGAACAAGCCAAACCAGCGAGAGGCAAGCTGATCAGGGAAAGCTGAGCACAAAGCCTTCAGGAGTAGGACGAATGGACTTGGATCTAGGTGCTCTTATCGTTTCCACAGTCCACGTTCCCTTTGCACAAAAAGGCAACTTCTATGGGCCACGCTTGTTCCTTTTGGAGCCGAAACATGCGTCTGTGTTGGGGATCCATGTTTATGAATGTTTCGAGTAGCCCGGGGTAGGCGTAAACTCGAACATGCCCACCACGGCTTTCCTCCAGTTTGTTCAGTTGGTTTCTATGGCACATCGGGTGTATACGAGTATACCCCGTATATGGTAGCTGTATACTCGTTGAATACTTCCATTCGCCCTTCGGGGTAGCTTCAACTTGGGGTAGCGCAAGCCATCTCAGTCGGTGGAGAACTCACTCCCTGAGTTCCTGAACTTGATTCTTGTTTAACTTCCATGTGATTAAGAATAGTTTTAGTTTTTCCCCTGTTGGTTTTAAAGGGAATCTATCACTACTGGAAATATTTCTATATGTTTCCAGGGGTCTGAACCAAATGGAAGTTATCAAGACCGCGCAGACAGAGAGTTTGGAGTTGGTTTGGCCAATCCACTCGGGAAGTGAGTAGGGCATTTGAAGGGTTGGCCCACCTTGTTTAAATCATTCATCAAGCCGCTACCCTCCCTCTAACAATCATGGAAGCTGACAGGAGGCTGTTGGTAGATGATGTTCCTCTTGGACCCCCCCAAAAGAAAATCCACTTCCAGGATTCGTGGACAAAAGGTATTTGGCCCACCTTGTCAGAATCATTGATTAAACCACTACTCTTGCTCTGTTGAGTTGTTTCCTGCCTGGCTTGCTGGCTTGCCTGCCTTGCTGGCTTGCCTGCCTTGCCTGCCTTGCCTGCCTTGCCTGCCTTGCCTGCCTTGTCTGCCTTGCCTGCCTTGGTTGCTTGCTTGCTTGCCTGCCTTGCCTGCCTTGCCTGCCTTGCTTGGTTTGCTGGCTTGCTTGCTTGGTTGCTTGCTTGGTTTGCTTGCTTGCTTGCTTGCTTGCTTGCTTGCTTGCTTGCTTGCTTGCTTGCTTGCTTGCTTGCTTGCTTGCTTGCTTGCTTGCTTGCTTGCTTGCTTGCTTGCTTGCTTGCTTGCTTGCTTGCTTGCTTGCTTGCTTGCTTGCTTGCTTGCTTGCTTGCTTGCTTGCTTGCTTGCTTGCTTGCTTGCTTGCTTGCTTGCTTGCTTGCTTGCTTGCTTGCTTGCTTGCTTGCTTGCTTGCTTGCTTGCTTGCTTGCTTGCTTGCTTGCTTGCTTGCTTGCTTGCTTGCTTGCTTGCGTGCCTGCCTTGCTTGCCTGCTTGCCTGCCTGCCTGCCTGCCTGCCTGCCTGCCTGCCTGCCTTGCTTCCTTGCTTGCCTGCCTTGCTCGCCTGCCCTTCTTGCTTGCCTGCTTGCATTGCTTGCTTGCTTGCCTTGCCTTGGTTGCTTGCCTTGCTTACCTGCCTGCCTTGCTTGCTTGCGTGCCTGCCTTGCTTGCTTGAGTGCCTGCCTGCCTGCCTTGCTTCCTTGCTTGCCTGCCTTGCTTGCCTGCCTGCCTTGCTTGCTTGCCTGCCTTGCTTGCCTGCCTTGCTTGCTTGCTTGCTTGCTTGGCTGCCTTGCTTGCCTGTCTGCCTGCCTTGCTTGCTTGGTTGCTTGCTTGCTTGCCTTGCCTGCCTTGCTTGCTTGCCTGCCTTGCTTGCTTGCCTGCCTGCCTTGCTTGCTTGCTTGCTTGCTTGCCTTGCTTGCCTTGCTTGGCTGCCTTGCTTGCCTTGCTTGCTTGCTTGGTTCGCTGGCTTGCTTGGTTGCTTGCTTGCTTTCTTGCTTTCTTGCTTTCTTGCTTGCCTGCCTGCCTTGCTTGGTTGGCTGGTTGCTTGATTGCTTGCTTGCTTGCTTGCTTGCTTGCTTGCTTGCTTGCTTGCTTGCTTGCTTGCTTGCTTGCTTGCTTGCTTGCTCGCCTGCCCTTCTTGCTTGCTTGCCTGCCTTTCTTGCTTGCCTGCCTTGCTTGCCTTGCTTGCTTGCTTGCCTGCCTTGCTTGCTTGCTTGCCTTGCCTGCTTGCCTGCCTTGCTTGCTTGCCTGCCTTGCTTGCTTGCTTGCCTTGCCTGCTTGCCTGCCTTGCTTGCTTGCCTGCCTTGCTTGCCTGCCTGCCTTGCCTTGGTTGGTTGCCTGCTTGCCTGCCTTTCTTGCTTGCCTGCTTGCCTGCTTGCCTTGCTTGCTTGCCTGCCTTGCTTGCTTGCTTGCCCGCCTTGCTTGCTTGCCTGCCTTGCTTGCTTGGTTGCTCGCCTGCCCTTCTTGCTTGCATGCTTGCCTGCCTGCCTTGCTTGCCTGCCTTGCTTGCCTGCTTGCTTGCTTGCCTGCCTTGCTTGCCTGCCTGCATTGCTTGCCTGCCTTGCTTGCGTGTTTGGTTGCTTGGTTGGTGGGTGGGTGAGAGGTGGGATTTAAGAAGGTCGTCTTGGTTTCAGGCAGCGCGCGCCGCAGGAAGTCATCCCCATCTTCCTGAACCGCCTGCGCAACCGTGCCAAGACCGACGAGGCCAGAGGCAAAGACCCAGGAGCCGCGATTCCACCGGCGGAAGTTGGTATCTCAATTACTGGGTTCCTTATTTTGACCATAGTAGTTACAAGTCAAAAAAAAAAAAAAACATAATTCAATATGTTTGTTTCGTATCTTGACTGGTTTCCTTCAACCACTGAAGGGGCCTGACTTTGATCAAGGAACAATTCATGGGGCCAGAGCTACCTCACCTGCCCAAAGCGAATCGATTTGAGCTGATCTTTTGGTTTCCCTTTTGGTTCAGCCCATCCCCATGGCTTTTCAGCCTTTTGGTGTGTAGTGATAATTTCCATTTAACTTACTAAAAGTTAAGCTATTAGCGGGGGATCTGAGGGTAGCCTTGGTTCTGGAAGGCGATCCCCTGTCATTTCTGGGTCAAAGGACTGAGTTCCTCCCCCGTCAACATGGGACCAAAGACGGCGGTCTCCCGAAAATCCCGTGGTTTTTTGGGGCAATCCAGTTTAGTAGCTCCGCCTTTCGAATTCAGGGAAAATGGTCAACGTCAAAACGGGCTGGGCTACAGTTTTCATTAGCTCAAGAGATCCAATCTATTATTTTTCCACGGCAAATTGTGCGATTTTCCCACGGACCGAGCTTCCATTTGCTTAGGAATATGTGTTTGATTTTCCCTTGTTCGTTTTGAAGAAAATCTATCACTACTGGAAATATGTTTTTTTCAGGGGGCTGAAGCAAATGGAAGCCCGCTTCTGGTTTTTGGGCGGGGGGGGGGGGGGGGCAGGCTGGCCACGAAGCGTACCCATACAGAATCAACCTACTACCCTCGTTCCAATAGAAGTGGACACGGCCTGTCAAAGGCGATGAAACATCCCAACTATCAATCAGCCAGGCGTGTTCCTTTCTGGAGACATGGCAGTGGTTGTCAAAACCGTCTTGGGATCCCATTTTGGGGTAGGTGAATTCACCACCCATTGTAGAACCTATTTTAGTGGGGATTTGGATTTTCACTGGGGGTACGATTTGGATCTTGATCCATGGCCACATGCCGAAACCTGTCCCAAAAGAAGAAGCATTAAAAAAAGAAACGTGTAGGGTTCCTCTTGTCAATACTTTGTGTGGGCAACATCCATTTGACACCACCTAAGAAAAAACTGGTTTCTGATGATTCCCCCGTAAATAATAACAAACAATGGTTTCCCACGGTTTCAAAGTAGTAATTACAGGATTTCGTCCATCCACACAGTGTGTCAAACGTCCCGAAGAAAGGCAAGGTGGTAAAGAAACCCGGTCTTCCGAACGCCTCTGGTGGCAAGTCAGCTAGCAAAAAGTTTTCAGGCGCATGCTCTCACCATATTCGCAAGTAAACCATACTCAACGGTACTCACTCACCAAACCCAGACAAAATGTTCAAAGTACTCAACCACCAAACGCAGACCAATTTCCGTGAATCGCCGTACATTCGCTGGTTCCCGCACCTTCCCCTTGCAAAACTGGTGGCATCCACATCCCTGTCAGCCCATTCCGAGAAGCCCCGCCCCGCACCCGTCCGTCCGTCCGTTTTTGTTTTTCTCCGCCAGAACTTGTCCATGCAGCTCTCCCGAAAGCTGAAAAGCAAGGACCGGCTTCGCTGCGGTGGGCCGCCGGCCGGCCGCTTCGCTTCGGTTGGCACTGGGCCATGGGTGGCGCGACCTCGGGTCTCGCAGACCGAGTTTCAGCAAGACCAGGGGTTTCTGAGTAAAACAAAAGCCACGGAAGTAGCAACGTGACTCGATTTCAAGGGAAGGACTAGCGAACATGATGGTTTCAACCTGAAGTACCAACGTGACTCGATTCCCCAAGGAACGAACATCATGAACTTCAACCCATGGTTTCGAAGCGGTGCGATCTTTGGATGTCGTCCCTAACGTGTGGGTGTCTCGTCTTTGAGTTGGTACCCGATAGAAAGGGAATGTGGGAATGAACCCAGACATGGAAAGAACATGCTCCCTGAATGTCTTGCTGGTGCGATAGGTAGGGAGTCACCGAGTCCGAGTGTTAGGGGATTCCCGAATAAATGATTAATAACTTGGAAAACCAAATCGGGGATGGGTTGTAGGGGCCATTCCCTTATTCTCCCCTATTCCCTGCTCAGCACAAGCACGATGGGTTCTGAATTTACTCAATTGCGCTTGAGCGCAATGCGTTGCGCAGCGCAACATCATGCGTGGCGCTGCGTTGGATGGAATTGTGCGGCCGCAGCATGCACAGGCTAGTCGCGCTTGGAAGATCAATTGCATCTTTAAGGCACCCTCCGTTGGTTGGGTGCCACGTTGCTGAGAGGGAGGGGAGGATAGTCACTCCGGGTACCTTTTTCGGTTGCCAGTCCACTCGATCGCAAGTGAGATTAACACAAACCATCTACACACTAGCACCCCCAACTCCCAACCCTTGCTTTTTGGTTACTCAATCAAGGAGATTTTAAACATGAGCAAACCATCTGGTCAAAACCCTGACGCCCCCCCAGTCAGGGTCCACGTCGATTGGGAGGGTAAAAACAAGAGCCAAACAGAATAAACAGCGCCAAAAACCTTTGCCTCAGCGATTGGGGCATCACAGTGCCAGTACCAATGCTTCTTCCCCATGGAAAACCCTTCAAACCCCTAGGAACCCTTTTAAGGAACCCCATGGACATCTCGGCCATCGCTCGCTCACAGGACATCGCTCGCCTGCTGCGAGACTTCCCAGAGGCGCGAACGCGCGCGCGAACTCGTTTCGTTGGTGAGTCAGCGTCCGGTTGTGCTGGGACTGAAGCGAGCAGGGACCATGGGATTCTAGGCTCCCCAGCTAGGTGCCCTTTTTTACCATCTTTTTTGGTTGGGAGAGTTCCCCTACTAAAATAGACTACAGAAAAAAGTCGGTACCAACTTATTCTAACCTCTCTACTGGAGGACAAAACCATCATGTGACTTGACTGCTATTGGGTGACGGATCTTTAGACTTTAACTTTTTGGTTGAAATCAAAGTTGAGTTTTCCACTAAACCCCCCAAAAGTTGTTCACTTTTTGCAGGGTGGTCGTTGCAGCAACCAAGGGATTAGCGCCTTAGATGGGACTGAAGCAAATGGATGGACCATCTATTTCGCGCCCTAGATGCCAGTAAATCCGCATGGGATCCTGGGACGGACACTGTGTGAGATGGGACTTAAGCAAACCCTCTACTCCAAGATCCTTTGATTTCAAAGGTTCTCGAAAATCACCGGGTTCTTCGCCGGAAAACCCGGTTTCACGAAAGCACACAAACGTACGGGTCGTGTATGGGTTTTGTACGGGTTTTGTATGGTTTTTGTACGGGTTTTTTAAAAGTAAAACCGGGTTTTCGGTTGGAAAACCCTGTTTTCGGAAAGCAACAGGCTCAAAAACAGGTTTTTCGTTTGCATCCTTTATTTTTAAAGGTTCTTGGAGTAGAGGGAATGGAGGGACCATCTATTTCGCGCCTTAGATGCAACGAAATGCGCATGGGATCCACAATGGGACTGGGCCAGTGACACACTCCTTTGGTGCATTTTGCCAAGGGATGTTAGGACTTGAGAACTTTTTGATCCAACTCATGGGTTTGCCGTATTAAACCACTAAAAGTTAAAAAGACTTTTAGCAGGGCTTCGCAGATTTCGCAACCGAGAGAAAATGCCATGCAACGTCCATCAGGTGGTTCTAAAAAAAAATACCAGCGCTTTTCATGCCAGCTATCGGGCCTAAGGCAACACGTAAACGAAATCTGGTGGCCATAGCCCCGCTTCTAGTGGACAAGTTCTGGTCGGTTGGGAAGGCAATTCTGGAAATTGGTCAATTCCCAGCCCAATTTTGCTGTATTTGGGGCTTGGGGTTTGAACCGGTTCTAGGTGGGAAACCTAGCAACTCACCGAGCTACTGGGAAGCTTCACTTGTCCAAAGCGAACCGACGTTTGGAGCTTTTGACCTTTTGACCTTTTCTAGCAATTGCTTAAGAATTTGTTGTGATTCCCCCTGTTGGTCTGAAATTGAATGCTTCCGGAAATGCTGATATCTTTCAAGGGGCTTAGGCAAATGGAAGTGTTGGTCTTGTTTTAGTCAAGGTCGCAAAGGTTCACCTACTTCCATTCGGCATCCATGTTTCAATTTCCCTGAGGCAACCAAAACAAACCCGATAGAAAGACCCAAAGGAAAAACGGCGAATTACCTGCACCCAGCTGCTTCTTTCCAGCATCCAACATCTTAGTGGGTGACCCAAGTGGACGTGTTGTTGTGTTTTCAGTCAAGGTTGCCAACGACATTCCGTGATTCTCATTTGTTTGTTTTGTTTTTTTAAGGTGTTTATTTTTTGTTTCGCCAACCTCCAACCCCCCAAGTCCCAAAAAACAGTCGTCACCGGGCTCGACCCGAGTCGTTTCTTTGTTTTGCTTCGCTTCGCATCACGAACTCCGAAAAAAATGGTCGCGCGAGGCCGCGGCCGCGCTGCTGGAGGGCGTCACGGACCGGCCCAAAGTCACCTCCGAGGGATGGCATCCCTTGCCCTCCCGCGCCGCGCGCTCGAGCGAGGAACGAGGGAATCCGAGGGAATTCGATGAAGGATCACGGTGGGTTTTTCAGCCAGGTGCCCTTCTCTACCGTCTTTTTTGGGGGGTCCCCCTAGTTTTGGGCCTTTTACCGTCTTTTTGGGGGGAGGGGTGCCCTACAAAAATAGACTACGGAAAAAAGTTGTACCCTTATTCGAACCTCTCTACTGGAGGACCTAGACTCGGGGTTGATCCAACCACTTCTGTCGGGAATCCGGTGGGGGATCTGGGTTTGACTCCAAATGGGGTACATTCGAGGGAAACCCTCGAAATTGATGGGGGTTGATACTGTTGGGAATCCAACTTTTTTTGGGAGGCCCATGTTAGGAGTCTTTGGGAGGCTTTTGGTTTTGCAGAAGTTGTCATTTCCCACAGCCCTGATCGGGTGGATGATAAACCCTGGCAATAGACGGCCTACAACCCTCTATGGCTATTTTGTGGGCTATGTGGACTTTGGCTTTTGATAGCAACCTTGACCCCATACTAAACAGTACTCAGTACACTGTCTGCAGTTCCTTTTTCTGTATGGGTTTTATTTGGTTGAACCGCAAATATATTGGCAGATTCCAAAAAGTGGTTTCTGTGCAGAGACCCCTCTGCAAAACGTTCAACTGTTTGTGGCTCTAAAGGAAAATCCACGGTTTCCGGAGAAAAAAGAGAGGCTAAAGTTCATAGATCCAACCAAATAGGCATAAAGGGTTGTAAGCCCTCTATAACCAGGGTTGCTAACCATTGAGCTAAGTCCCACTGGGTTCGGCTCCAAACGGTTTGCACATCCGGTTCTTTCTCATTTTCCACTCCGAAATGGATGGTGCTCCTTTAGTTTCCTCGTAAACCAACCCTAAAACGGAGGGCTTCTTGTGTTGCTCATGCTGTGCTACCACTTTGATGTGCTGGAGGGTTCTTTGGGATCCATTTAGGCCAGTGCTTCAGTACCTAAGTAGGTAACCAGACGAAACCAGCCTAAAGGCAAGGAAGCCAACGGTTTCCTATTGTGCGAACTGGAAGCACTGGAAGCATGCTTTCCCCGAGCAGGCCAAGATTCTTGCCATAGTCGCCCGGCTTTTCTGATGTTTGGAATCAGAATGTCGGGGCTTCTCAGGGGTGTTCAGTGCGGACCATCTCATCTAAAGATACCTAGAGTCTCCGTGACCCCTAGAAAAAGGGGTCATGACCCCAAGATTTTGGGTAATGACCAACCATTTTTTAAGGGATGGGATAAGATCTGTGCCTAAGCCAGCGAAAGGGCTCAGCTACTCGCTACTCCCGTGCTCTGCTCTTGCGGTGCTCCTTTTTCCAGCTCCGGAAACAACTCCACTCAAAAAAGGTGCTTGAATCTATTGTTCCTATGGACATCCACTGAAATTCAAGGAGTCCTTGAATGGTTAGGGGAAGGTTAAGGTTTTTGAAAACTGACCTTCGGGTAGATAAAGATGGTGGGAGAATGCCCTCGCCATATAAAATATGGGCGGCCTTCGAAGCCTTGTTTCAATCTGTGCGTGGTTTTGGGTTCGGAACCCATTTTAGTACCAAGTGTTCATGTTGACTCAGTCCCACTTTAAAGCCCGCTGCAAAAAGAAAAACAGCGGCCGAATCTGCTTGTATGGAAATCCACTAACAGTCTGCCATAATTGTTGAATAGTGGAGTTGTGTTGCAAAGTGCATGGAAGTTCCTCCACAGTTTCATCCGATTCTTGAATAGTTGTTGGGATGTGAGGGCACGAGATGTTCCACTCAGCACGTTGCTTGAATTGCGGAGAGAGCACCAATTCAATCGACACGGGGGCCCTTTTTGTTCCATCAGAACTACCCGACGTTCGTTCAAAGCTACGGGTAGGTTAGAGGCTTACTCGCCCCTTTCCGGGCATTCAGGGGTAGAGGCTTGCCTGTCCCGCAGGAAACCCTGATGCCGTCAGGCAATACGAAAAGCAGAGGATGTTTGTCCGGCGGCCAGCAGGGTGCTGCAAATGAAACAATTGTTTCATGAGGAGGTGTCTTCCGCGAGAGGGAAGCAGTGGCAATTTGCCCGCCTGGGGAGTAAAGGTGACTTGAAGTGGATTGTTTGTCAAGCCTGTCTGATGGACCGCTGCAACCTTTGCTTTGCAAAACCGGGTTGACCAACCCAATGTGCCACGACTGAATGGCTGGATTTACCGCCCTTCCCTATGAGGACGTGGGTTTCTCGGCAAAGTGGACATCCTCACTCTAGCAAGGCGTCCGTGGGACGAATTTCACACCCCGCCGCTGGTTGGAATTCCTTTGGAGCCCGCTGGCAGCCGGCCAGAGATCTTTCGGCGTGACACGTTTCGCACGTTGAGGATCGGCATGGTTCGAGACTTCGCAGCATCCTGCATGTTTCATTTGTGTGGATGCTGGTCCTACTTCACCGACCCCGATGAGGGCAACTCTGTGGATGCCAAGCAGATCCGAATGTTCAGCGATTTATGCAGCTCTTTATGTACTCAAAACTGGCGTCTGGCCAGACGCTACTCCCGAATGGCATTGGAAAATATTACATCCCGTTAGTCATGTGGAAGCACATTTCACATAAAAGGTCCTTTTCTTTTAGGACCATCGTACTGGCTCCAGTGTCCCTTTTCATATTCCTTTTTTATATTTCTGATTTATGTTTTTTTCATTAAAAAATAAATGTTGAGGGGATCTTGATTGTTGTTGGCATGGTTTTAGGTGCTTAGGATTTTTTGGGTTCCACTACCAAGAGGTTGGAAAGGGATCTTTAGAATCGGACCGGCAAGGAAATACTTTGGTCCATTTTGCCAAGGGATGTTAGGACTTTAACTTTTTGCCAACTAATGGGTTTTCCACTAAACCACTAAAAGTTAAACTTTTAGCAGGGGAGCAGAAAGCAACCGAGAGGAAACGGGGCGCTTATTAATTTGTTCCCATGGAATCCGGGGGGGGTCTTCCGAAGCCAGTGCCAACACGCGCGCGATTGCCGAGGTGAGTTTTGCGCAGCGCACCTGGTTCAGGACAGCTCCAGTCGATTCGTTCTGGTTTGCGTGGGAAATTTGGGCTCATGTGGCTGTTTTTCTGTCTCACCCCCTTTTGTGGCGCGTTGTTTGGTTTTTCACTCCCGTTTTGTGGCTCGCCTCTTGGTGTGTTGAGGAGAATTATGGGGCTCGCCGGCTCGCCCCCCCCCGTGTTCACAAGTCAACATTCAGCTCAACCTGCCAGGAGACTGCTGCGGCCGCTGATCGTCAACCGCCGTCGCTTGTTTGAACAATGGCTTTGGGCCTTTCCTTTTCATATGCTGTGTCTCAACAGAGGGTTTTCCCTTTGAGCTAGCCCCAAAACGGGCACCCTCAAGAAGAGACGCGCTTATTTGTTTGCATTGGGCTCCCCTCAAGGTCAATATGTGTTGCATGGAATTCCACTATGTGGTGCTTCAAGGTAAACTACCAAAAAAGTGTGCCTTGTTTTTGCACACAACCCCCACAGACTTTCCACCAACCTTTAAGGCCTTAGTTGGAGGCTGACTACCCCCTTTCAGACACGTGGTTGGAGGGGTGTGGTATTCAGTTTTAGGGGCAAGCTGCAAGCAAACTTTGTTCCCAACGTGATAGACATTGGGACGGAAAATAATGCTCTTGGTGTTGAGCTGGGTGCTAAACTACGCGTAATTCCCTAGGGCAGCCATGATTATGGATTTATGTGATGATTGTGTTGTTTCGCAATGTTTCGCAGAACTCTGGGAATGAGGAGTTGGTTCCCCAGGTCAAAACCTCTCCTTGTGGAAAATCCTTCATTTGGACGGCCCTCCATTCGACAGCTGGCAATGCCCACCTTTGATACCCGCCCGGTTTCTCTTGAACAACGTGCATCTTTTGGCTGGAATCCTTCCGGGTCCTGGCACCAGAATCACGAAAAAACGGGTGGCTCCAAAAGATTCCGCTCGAGTTTTGAGTCACGTTTTATATGGATGGCCCGGGAAGAATCGTTATGCTAGCTATACCATGGGTCAACCCACCTAAACCCATGGTTGTAAAGCCGCGAAGAGGGTTTTAACCAAGGGTAATAACCCTTTAGCTTAGCGAGCATCTAAGTCGACTTGGTTGCTTTCTTGATTGTGGGGTCAACAAGCTTGTTCTGTCCCGTCAACTCAGGTCAGTTTGGGATCGGACCTCTTTGGGGGTTCCTTATTAATGCGCGGGGGGCAACCTGAGGGCGAAATCATGAGAATGACCAGGGGTGGGGGGGGGGGGGGGGCTGAGGCACTTTAAAAGTCAACTTGAGTCATGATTTTAGGGGAACAACTGGGGTGCTTTGCCTGTTCCTGGATTTCTATCAAAGTCAGAAACTGGGGCGCATTCCCTTTCACCTTCCACTAAAGAAGAAGTGACTTTGCTGCTGAGATGGGGCCAGAAATAGACGCGGAATTGCTTTGCCCCTTTGCCAAGACTACCTTGTCTTCTACAAGCCTGAGATGGAGTGGGGCCTGGCGCCCGAGCTCCCTTCCATGGCGTATTGGTGAATTTCAGGGCGGGTCCTGCCATGTCCTGCCCTTTTACCGTCTTTTTTTGGGGAGGGTTCGGGACCCTACTAAAATTTACTACAGAAAAAAGTTGGTACCAACTTATTCTAACCTCTCTACTGGAGGACCTAGATATGTGGTGTTCCTTAAAACGCACAAGAAAAGTTACCCTCAACAAAAACGGGCAGCCCATTTTGATCGCACATCACTTGGCGCTTCCTTAGGCTGGTGTTTGGGCACGGCACGGATCGCGAAGGAGCAGGAATTGTTCATCTATTTGAGCACAGTACAGATCGCGAATGGGAGATTATTTTTTGCCATTCCGAAAAGGGATATGTCTAGCAACTTATGGGACTGTCTCCAAAAGTTTAGGGGAACTTCAGAACGGATGTTCTTTCATTTGGTTTTGTGTTTACATGAAGCCCAAAACCGGGGAACCCGAAACTTCAATCACCCTTTCTAGGGGTACCTTCCATTTCCATTCTGAACCCAGGGATCCGAATTTATTTTCAGGAAACCATCAAAAACGCGGGAAACGGCCGTTTTTGTTTTTGATTTTAAAGAACGATGGTTGAAAATAATGGTTGAAGGAATCAACCCCTAGACCCTTGGGTCGGTCAGTCGCAGTTTCGCGAATGCCAAGCTTGGGTGGGAACTATACAGACCCCCGCGGTCCACTGCCAGCCTTCGTTTGAAGATGTTGACTTTCTGGACGTGCTTTTCATGTTCAATTGTCTAGTTATTCAACCAGCTTGAAAAAGAAAATCTCAGTCAATTAAAGTACGCTGGATGCCCTACAAATTTACCGGATTTTGCCTCATGTTCAAGTACTTCAACCAGTTTGAAAAGTTCGCAGGGGCCCATGGCTGGCCAAGCGTCTGCACGAATGTCTTTCAGCCAGTCAGTATGTGCTCAAGTAAAATGCGCTTCCCCTAAAAAGTTGGGACATCTACCAGAATGTGCCATGTTTTTTTGTGGTTGAGCATGCTTGGTTTGCTTGCAATCTGGCAGGGGCATCCACATCATGGAGGCGTTAGCACCAACGTAGATGGTCCAGGGCGAGGGTTCTCACCGACCGAACGAACTTTCAACCGTGTTGCGGGAGCTATTGAGCATTCAACTAGGCTTATTGAGCCCTAACCCTTGACGGCTCTGTTTGGGGTGGCTTTCAGGGTCTCTGGATTTGGCAACCAAGAGACTTGGACTGCGGTTAGCTCGATGCTCATCTTCGCTTCCTTTCCCCTCCGCCAAAGTATGATACGCGGGTTCCCCCAGTGTGGCAGTACCTTGAGGGCTTGCTGAACCAAGGACTCATTGTGTCCTGAATAACTAGAAGGACAGTCGTTTCAGGTTTAGTATATAATGACCAGCACAAGGGGGACAAAGGGGATAGATGTGCCATCGTCAGGAGTCATCCAACCCCGCCCCTTCCCCCAACACTCCCTCAAAGGCCTGAGAAACAAGGATCCCCTCCCATTTCCCCAAGGCTTAAACATCTTAAGGCAACTGTTTGATGAGTTTCACTCTTGATGTTATAAAAGTTGGACAAATCCAGGGGACCCTGAGGGGGCACCAAAACGAAGCTCGAAAAGGACCAGGAACAGCCCCGGCTTCACCCAACAGCCCGAAACACTTTCGAGGCTACGACGACGCGAAGTATGAGCCTCCGGCATGGCACCAGCAGCTGGAAGCCTGGAAGGACCGGCTCTTGCGTGGCCGTGCGTGGGGACCTTTTCTCAGTTGCCCAAACTTTTAACCTTTTGGTTTTCCAATTTTGGTCTATCTTTAGTAAAGGCCCCAAAAGGTTAACCTTTTATTCCTGGGTCCTTTGGGCGACTGAGTTTTTGGTCGGATGGATGTGGTTGTCAAACATGGGATAACCTCATTCCCAGAGATTCTGAAAGGAGTAGGTACATGGTTCTGCGAAACATCGCGAAACGACACAATCATCACAATCCGTTGGGACCTTTTGGCCGGATGGACTCTGTTGCCCAGTGGTGCTTCTTTTTCCTTTTTTGGGGGTTTGGGTTCCGATTCCTTTAAACTCAACCAACAAAAAAAAAGGTGCTCTTTTTTCCCGTGGCCACTGGGCATCTAAGTGGAGGGTCAAAAAAGTGTTGGGATCCCATTTTGGTTGGTAGGTGAATTCACCACCCATTTTAGAATCGATTTTAGTGGTTGGATTGGTGATTGGTGGATGTTCACTGGGGGTACGATTTGGATTTTGACCCATGGACACGTGGATGTGGGTCAAACATGGGGCAACCCCAAAATGAGTTGTACTGGTAAATGTCGTATGGATGTGTGATGTGATCAAAAATGGGAAAAATGTCCCAGAAACTAGCATGGAAGTGCCTGCGGACCGTAGAAAGTCGACTTTCCTCTTGGAAAGGGGGTTGGTGCACTTCCATGTTAGTTGGGAGGGTAACCCCAAAATGACTTACCCTGGTAAATGGAAGACATGGACGATACCTGCAACCCCCTGGTGACTAGACCTTTTTGTGTGTGGGTCAATGGGTACCGTACCCATGGCTTGTGGAAGACAACGAGTGAACCGATCCAATTCCTCGTGGCTAATTTGGATGTGTGACAGCTAGCCCGGATCGCCACAGGTTCTTTCCGGGTCGAGCCTTCGACCTAGGACATTCCACGGCAAGCTGCACGCCTTTGAACATGTTTGTTTTTTTTTTTTTTTGGGGGGGGGGGGGGTGGGGTTGCGGAAGGTAACCTGCTGAAATTCCATGTGTGCACGGCACATGCTCAAGCAGAACCCAAAGGCCCCTTTATGTTGCCCTTTTGAGTTCTTTCCCATATAATTACCAAAAACACACACACACACACCAAACCCCCCAAATTCCCCCCCAAAAAAAACAAAACGCCCAGCCTGCTCGAGCAGTCTGTAGGATCCACCGACCTTCGACGCACACATCCAGGCATCGATGCGGCTCGTTTCGAGGGCTGAGTTGCGGATCAGCGAATCAATCCACCAGACCTCCAGGCCCAGTTCTTCCAAAGAACAACTCCCAGGGTGGCATGGCTTTTTGATCGCCCCTCCTGTCGTTGCCATGAAACCTGACTGAGGGGTCCAAGACCATGTTCCTAAGGGAACCTTCGGTGGGTTCTATTGGTGGATAGAGGGTATTTAAGAAACATGTATGCCTTTCTTTCTCATGGCCTGTGGTGTGGGACGCTCAACCATCCCTTTCAGAATTTCGAATTCTTGTCTTTTGTGTGAGAAGGACTGACCTCTAACCCTACTCAGATCCATTCGGCAGCAGCTTGGGAACTGAGAAGCCCCGAATCACAGAGAGTTGAAGCCACTGCGAAGAGAGATATGTTCTCAACGATTGCAGCTCCTGAAACAGGCCTTCCCGAAACTTATTGGGGGTAACATGGGCTATATGTTTGTAAAAGGTTAACTTCCCCAATCCTTGGAGTTTTAAGGGGTAAGAAAAACATCCTTATGGGGGTGTTCCTTGGTGCTTATTCTTTGGTCTGGGACGATGGAGCGCTGGACGTTCAAAGTCAAGCGTAACTGCTGGTCAATCAAAGAGGCTGATCAGAGCCTGGGATTGGTGTTCCTCAAGCAAAGGTGGAAGGTTTCTGATGGACGCTGGAGGTTTCACATAAGCTTGACTCGGTGACAACTCTGACGCAGCTGAGCCCATTGTATCCACTTCGTGCATGGGCCTCTCTCAAGGACAGGGACAAATCCAAGCCAGGCGTGCATGGTTGCATCCCCAACCGTGAAAGCTGCCCCAAAGAACCCCAGAACCTATCTGGGCAGGGACCCCATGGAAAGCTGTTGACAAAAATGCAAGCACCCAGCCACTCAAACTGCAAAGCCCAACCTAGTCACGCAGGTTACCGTGTGGCTGGAGGGAAGCCAAGCCCAGAAAAAGCCGAATCGGCAGGATCTCAGCTTGCTGTGCCATTCGAGCCAACCACTTCCCTTACGATTTCCCTTTGGTTTTCCTTTGCCTCAAGGCCGCCCTCACTTTGTGGCTAATTGTTTGGTCGGTTGAAACAGCTTGGAATTTCCGAATTGGACTTGCAGAGGTGTCGTTGCAAGCAAACAAGTTTGTTTCCCCACGTTGGGTTCCCATTTGCAAACGAAACAAAAGGGGGGTTAGAAGCTGAACAGATCAGCTTCGCGAGGTGTGCTGCATCCCCACTAAGAAAGCATAGCCCGAAAAAGAAGTCAACCATCTACCACACGGGTATGCAAAAACTGAGCAGTGAGGCCCGCTGACCATTGACTCTGACTGGAAAAGGAAGCCCATCATCTACGCACGCAGGTTGCCACCGATCGATTTGTTTCATGAGTTCTTACGGGCACGCCCGTGTCATTGCTCCTTAAGCGAACAGATGTCCGGATGTCGCCAGGTAGGCAAGCGTGCTTTTAACAGTAGGGAAGCCAAAAAACAAAGTCCCCCCCCCCCCCACCCACCCCACGCCCCCACGCTCCACGTCCAGACACGCAAAAGAGTTAATTCGTGTTCCATGGCAGGGAAGCCAAAGCCCTTCGATCGAGAGGCGTGCTGCATCCCCAAACCCCCCCCACCCACCCCTCACGTCCAGACACGAAAAAGGAGGTAATGCTTTACGGCAGGTTCCCAAAAGCCAAAAACTAAAAATCCCCCCCCAAAAAAACAACAACTAAAAATCCCCCCCCCCACCAAAAAAGAAACACCTCACCTCACCCCTTCTGGAGGTTTGCTGCATCCCCAACCTGATCTCCCCCGCCTTCTTCTCCGCCCTCCTGGAGCCCTCCGTCTCCGGGGAGCCCACGCTCTTCCTCTACGAGAACAGCGCCATCCGCGCCGCGCCCCGGCACCGGGATCGAAGAGCTGAGCTGCTGGAAAGCGAACCCCACTCCATCGGCACCGCCCCCCAAAAAAAACAACGCGGAACAAATAGAAAGGGCCACCCGAAGGACAGGTTGCTGGACCCCCCCCCCAACACCCCACACGAACCCACCGCCTTAAAAAGAAAACCACAAAAAGGGCAACCAAAAGCAAGTTGCTGGAACCCCGCCCCCCCGCCCCCCCAAAAAAAAAGAATGAAAGAAAGAGATGAAGGTAAAAAAGTGGGGTGGCGCACTGCCGGAGTCCCCGACCTTGGACGTGATCGTCTTGGATGTTGGGCCCGCTTAGCGGTAAAAGAGTCTTCAGAGTGTTTGGTTTCCAAGCCACTTAGGAAGTGAGCGGGTGTGGTTTTTTGGAGGGTGCTATGTTTTGTGGGTACTGGTTTTTTGAGCTTCCATTTGGTTTTTTGAGCTTCCATTTGGTTTTTTGTGACCCCTGGAGAAAATGAGAACATATGTCCAGTTGTGAAATCGATTCCCTTTAAAACCAAAAGGCGAAAATGACAAAACAACCATTTCAGCAGATTGGGGTCTGAGGGTGCCGTGGTGGGTGTGTTTTGTTGGCGGCTACCGTGGCGAAGAAGGACGCGTGACGCGCGAATCAGGCATCACTATTGGGGTGGGTATTCTTTCTTACCTTGTTTGAACCAGTTCCTTAGCTTTTTAGCCTTTCAGTGTTTAGTGGGGATTTCCATTTAACCCACTAAAAGTTAGTCACTTTTAGACGGGGGATCTGAAAACGGACAGCCCAGACAAGAGCCGTCATTTTGAGGGTTCCCCCTTTCAAGACATACAGATGGTAGCCCCGTTGCCCCGTTTGCTGAGACAAGTGAGTCACAATCAACACCCAGGAATGAAGGGGAGGGTCCGACTCGCAGGTTTGCAGGTGGACCCTTTCAAAAGTTTCAGCACCAGGCTCTGATTGCGACTCAAGTGAGCTGCTAGGCACCCCTTAGATTTCCGCCTGTGAGCGAAGGGCTCCAACATCCAGGTGTATTGTTGAAGGTTGACCAGGGTACCGTTGTTTTGTGACGACACCCCTGTTTGAGGGTTTCAAAGGGAAACCAAAAGGAAACCGCTTAGTTTGGGGGTCCCTACAAGTTGAGGTCAAAAGCGCGCCCCTCCTTTGTCCCCTCCCCTTATCAATAAGTGCACCCTGTAAGTTTGTGCTTACCCCAACCCCCAGTCTCCCAATGCTAAATTAGGTCTAGCCAATGCTAAACCCACTCTAACCAGCAAATCTCCCACTGACCCCAACTCGTCGAATCAATACTGAACCATGTTTAGCCAAAGCAAGAGTGATACACATATGGCTGTGGGTCAAAACCAATGGTACCATTTTGGGGTAGGTGCACCACCCATTTTAGTCTATTCTAGTTGGGATTGGGATGTTCACTGGGGGTACGCGAGATTGGCCCATCGCCATATTTCTGGTGTTTAGATTCCTAGGTCTGGCCAAGCAACGTGAAAGGGGACCCAATTGGCGATTTCCCGATTCCAGTCCATCCAAGTAGGGGCGCCTTGACTGTTGGCAGGTGTTATGTCTTTGAAACCTTTTGGTTCTGTTCATTTTTGGTGGGTGGCAAAAACAAAGTGGCCTTATTAATTGTGTAAACCAGTTTGGTTTAAGTGCTTTGGGGTGGTGGCAACAAAAGACAAACAAGGAGTGTGTCTTCACTGGTGTTGGCATGTTGTAGCATGTTTGGTGTTGTTGGTCTGATCATGTTGAGCAGGGGGCTGCCAAGAAAATAAGTTTTAGTACTACCATCCTACCAAGGGTTGGCAAGGTTCTGGGGTTAGGATACATTTTACATTTACCAGTGACTCAAAGCAAACACAAACATGCATTCTATGACTGGGCCTGACTAACTGTAATCATTCTAGGGGCTGATTCCCCATTCTTTTCAACCATCGTTCTGTTCAAAAACCGGCTGTTTCCCGAGGGTTTTGGGTGGTTTTGTAGAAAGAATGGAAATGGAAGTCACCCCTAGAATCATGGGTTGCTACCATTGCAAGCCTTGGAAAGGCCCCACAAAAAGTCTCAGGCAGTGTCCTTTACCTTCTGGAACGGCGCGGTCTGGGCAGAGCTCGCGCCCTTTCTGCGAGCAAGTGACGTCTCGGCGACGTCTTTTTTTGGGAACCCAAGGGGGGTTTTGTTTCTGGTGTCCCTTTGAAGCATCCTAAGAAAAGGTGCAGTCAAGAAAAAAGTCGACCACCACACTGTAGTTCCCCAACAAAATGGTTGCTTGTTTTGGCGAAGTCATTCAGAAGTGGCGGTGTTCGCCTCATACTGAATTAGGCTTTCCCGCAGTAGTCCTGGACGTTTATGGATGTGATCCACGTGATGCTGGACATCGGTTATGGGCTGTTATTTGTTTGGCTGTTATTTGCGCTTATGCTTGGATCGGTTATTCAACTTGTTTGGGGTATGCGTGTTTTTTTTCCAGTATCCATTTCAGCCCCAATCCAAAGTAGGCAACATGAGTTGAACAGTGGTCATTACATGGTTAGAAAGTAGTCGCCACGCATCAATCATTTGGACCCGTGCTTTTCGAAAGGCCGAAAGGCCGAACAGCGAAGGGAGTTGCTTGCTTTACCCAGTTGCCCAGCGGGTTGCTCCCTTGTTCCCCTTTTGTTTTGTGGGGGAAGGGTGTCCCTTTAAAGTCAACCGCCCAGAAAAGGAGGCCGATCCTTTTCTTCCCATGGCTTCTGAGTTTCAATAAGCACCCAAACATGGTGGTTGTTGGGAAACATTTTACATTTTTGCTTATTGTGGTTTAGTGGTTGAAATCCCCTCTTGACTGCTAAAATTTAAATGTTTGCTCCCCAAACCCAACGTCAACCAAGCAAAGGGCGCTCTGTGTGTCCTTTTGGAGTAAAACGCCCCGTAGAAAAGTCCACGCCACGAGCCCATTCCTGGCTTTCCTGTTGCACTTGTTGGAGGCAATGCCAAGACCATGAAAAGCTCAACTGGTTTTTGGATGAGGCAATCCTTCAAGATCAACCATCAAAAGCCCTTTGGAAATCCACGGAACACCCTTTTCATGTGTTGATTTCCACTGGAATCCCTTCCTTAGATCCACAGGGCTCGATTGAGCGAATCAGTCTCACCTCTGGGGGTGCGACCTTCAAGTTCCAATTCCTTAGGAACCGCTCCTGAAGGCCTTAAGCTCGCGAATGACATTTGGCCAAGGGAGTTCTTTGGCATTGTTATTTGGGGGGGGGGGGGGATGTAGTGTTCTTTGGCGTTTGTTTTTTGGTGGGTTTGTCAACTCTTTTGGAGGCTCGCTTGTTTTGTTCTGTGTTTTTCTCGGGCTGCCTTTTTGGAGGGTAGCCTTTTGGAAACCTGGACATCTCCAGCCCACCTAAAACTGCCCTTGATCTTCCCACCAACCCGCAAATACCCGCAATGTCGATCCAGATTTGAGGCGTAGAACCTGCGAATCGATTCGTGGCAAGGGAGAAATTGATAAGTGAGAGCTTTGCCCCCAATGAACTCCCCAGCTAACCCCCATACCAACCCTTGTAACCCTTTACCTGGATCGCCAGTTGCTGTTTTTTGTTCCATGCACTTTACCCCAAAAACCGATCGCAACAGTGACTGAAAAAATAGCAACTTGGCTATCTAGGTATGCCCTTTTAACACCTGGGAACACAGGGCAGTACGTGCGCCTCCGCATCCGACCACCTCAAAATGGCAAGACCAATTGATCCGGGTCAGTGCGGATGCGGCGTGCCTACCGAATTGCCCGCAACCTTTCCGGGGCCGGTTACCGCGGTCGCCTGACTGTCTCACTCCCTGAGTTTCGTTTCGGACTTGAGGTCACTTTGGGGACGACCATTTGGGTGTGGCTCAAAATGAAATAGCTGGGGTTACGCGGGTTTTAGTCTTTGGTTCCATTTACCAGGGTGCCATTTTGGGTACCTACTTTTGACCCACAGCCATTTGAGTGATGAAACAAAAATGTTTAGACTTGTTTGCCCATCTCAGGAAGTGAGCTGTTCAGTCGCCAGGGGCAATGTTTCGCATTTAGCGAAGTCCCAGACCACCTGAGCACGAAGAGGAGATAACCCTGTTGGCTGTATCCGTGGTCAACCACTTGGCCGACCAAGTGGACGGTTTCCCTGGAGAACTTGCGGACAGCTCCGGAAACCAAACAAACCTCCTGTTGAACCTCAGATGCCCAGAGAAGCACGGGTCCCAGAGCTTATTTGGGGGTTGATCAAAAGGTCAACATGGGATGACTATTGGGGAAAACCACAAACAATGTGATATGTCCCATTGAATTTGAGAAGTTACCCGTGGTTATTTGAGGGCCAGGAATATTGATCAACCCTCATTTGGGAGACCGCGAAGCTTTCAGCGGGAAAGGTCTAGGCTTGCTTGGGCCAACCTCAGGAACATTGCAGTCATCGGGCATGCTGTGAACCAGACCCGTGGTATCCGTCAAGAGGAGAATTAAGGGATGTTGTTGTTTCAACCTGGCTTTGATTGAATCCCCCCACCCTGATTGCAGTTCCTGGAAAAGGGGACTAAGGGCATCCTTATCGGGGTGTTCCTAGAAGGCGCTCAGAGGTACTGAGATGGTTTGGGACGAATCGCCAAGTTAGTAAACATGGTTCCAAGTTCTAACCCATGGTTGTAAGTTCCCTTTCAGTGGGTTGTAACCAGGAAGTGAACACTTTTTTGCTAAGTCCCATCCAAGAATCTGAGCAGTTGGGCACAGGTGCACTTCCTGATGTCTTTGTGGGGCCTCACCTTGCTGGTGGTGGAGTCCTGGATGGCCCACGAGGCCTGCCCCGGCGTGATGCCGCGAGTGCTTTTCCCTCTTTCTGTGATTGCCTTGGTATCGCGGCAAGACGTTCACTTCCTGACTTCCTACACTTTATCCTTTTCAGAGCAACGCAGCCCCATTTTAGTGGCCAGGTTGCAACACTTTTGGGTGCTTGTTGTTATGAAGGAAGTGAAAACTGCGATACCACATTGGAACCCCCTTGAAAGTTATCAAGTGGGATGGTCCGGGTTGGCACAGTCCGCAATGCAAACTGATCGAAGTTGTGCTCCAGGCTAGAAAAAACTGGCCGAAGAACTTGGCAAAATCTGCCCCAATGCAGTGTTGACCCTCAAGGAACTCCGACCTTTCAAGGCAAAAGGGGGGTGGGAAAAACGTCCATTTGCTGAAGAATATGTGTTTTTTCTCCTGTTGGTTTTCAAGCAAATCTATCACTACTGGAAATATGTCTTCATTTTTCCCCAATAGCTGGAAGCTTTGGGGTCTCAGCCCAGATAGGCTCCGGGGTGGTCCGGGGCGGCCCTGAGACGAGGGTTCCACCAGGGTTCCACCAGGGTTCCACCAGGGTTCCACGACGGTTCCACGAGGTTCTGCGAGGGCTACGGGGTGGTGCGAGTACTAAGAAGAGCACCGCATGCTGTTGGGGATATCACCTGAACTTATTTTCCAGGGGTACTAACCAAATGGAAGATAAGCTCAAAGGCCTCTGACACTGGCAGTTCAAGCAACACCTCGAGCCAGTCAGGTAACCACTGCTTTTTGGACCAGGAGATTTTGCGGTTGCCTAAAGGGCCGAAACCTCCAGGCAGTTTGGGTAAACCCCAGGTCCAGCAAGGTGCCCTTCTGAACCCCTTTGGTTGGGAGGCTTCCCCTAAGTGAAGACGTCCTGAAAAAAGTGGACTGGCCTAAACCCTAACCTCTCTGGAGGACCTAGACTCGGGGTTGATCCAACCACTTCTGCTGGGAATTCGCTGGGGGATACGGGTTTGACTCCAAATGGGGTACATCCGAGGGAAAACCTCGAAATAGATGGGGGTTGGCTACAGGACCTAGCAACCGCCTTGGACACGACTGGATGCAACGCTAGGCGGCGGTGGAGTCCGAGCTGGAGAAGCAGCGGCTCTGGAGCCGCTCGGAGATCTTTCGCCTTGCGGCTTAGACGGCCGTTGCGGCGTCTCGGAAGTCGTAAAGTTTCTTGGGGATTTGAGTTGGTTTCATGTGTTCCTTAGGTTTCTGAGGGATTTTCGTGGGTTTATTTAGTGGGTTCCTTAGGTTTCTTAGGGATTTCGTTGGTTTATTTAGTGGGTTCCTTAGGTTCCCTAGGTGTTTTTTCTTTTTTTTCGTGGCTTTAGTTGGTTCCCTAGGTTTCCGAGGGAATTTATTTGGTTTTGCGGGGGTAGGGATTTGAGTTCGTTGATTCCTTACCTTCCGGGGTGATTTCGTTTCGTGGGGGTGACCGCCCACGCTTTGGAGTCCATTTGCAATCAACTTCGCGGTTAACCAACCAGCGGGTTCCTGGAAGGTGTTGCGATGTCTTTAATTAGTTGGTTTTAAGGACATGTATCACTGCCATTATGATTCCCCAAAAAACTCTGGAGCAAATGGAGGTTGCGAGCCCAAAAACCAGCAACTCATAGAAAGACGCTTTAGTCTTGCAGACAACCGGTGACCAAAAGTGGAGAGAAGGTAGCTTGGGATCGCCCGAGATGGGATATTTTTGCTCCGGAGAACAGCCCGTGGCATTTGCTGTCGGCAGGGGAACGCAAAGCGGAACGGGGGTCAATCAGCCGCACCGCGCTTTCTCTTTTTTTTTGAACCGCATCCTGGCCCCGATCATGGCACAGCGTCCCCTTTTGATGCGTGCCTCCTGTTCTCTTTCTGGTTTCTTGAACCGCTAGACGAGACTCGCAGAATCCGCTCCCCCCCATTAATGAATGCACATGAATAATCGGTGTACATGATTCCCACATCCCCAACCTCCCCCTCAAAAAATACATGATTCAATATCAGCTCGTCCCTGGCTACCAGACCCGCTCATTCATTGCTTACCGCTCTTACCAAACGCACGACTTCCCCAAATCCCCAACCCCGATACTAGACCTGGGCTCGTATGTCAGGTAGTTCTAGGGGTTGATTCCCCATTCTTTTCAACCCTGCTGTTTCCCCAGGATGGTGGGTGGTTTTTAGAAAGAAGGATGCCTGGAAAGAATGGAGTAGTAGCTTCCAGTGCCTCACAGATTGGGGACCAGGTCTTCGAACCCAGTGGATTCATTCCACCGGCTTGTTCCTTTGGAGGAAATTTCTCTGAATGCACAAACAACTTGGTGGCTCCCAGCCATCCCCTTAGCCTTTTAGCCTTTTAGTGTTTAGTGGTAGTTTCCATTTAACCCACTAAAAATTCAACTTTTAGCGGGGGATCTGAGGGCAGCCCAGACAGAACATGGCTGTAGCGCCATCCATTTCCGAAGAGGCAAATCCACTGAGAGTTTGCCTCGCTTATCGGCACAAAACCCGTTGACCCTTGTGCTAGTGGTGTCCCACAATCCACCCATAGTTGCTGGATAATTACCTGTCCACGAACATGAATCCCACCAGAGGGTCGGTCCCTTTGAAAGGAATATAGTCATCCAGGATACCTCTACGTCAGGTTCCACATTGGCGGATGGGAGGGTCCTTTCACTGTGGAATCAACTGGTTGGATAGGTCCTGGGCGGGAATGACCTGAACCATCCATGCGCTTTGTTTAAAGGGAATGCCAAACGGCTCCTTCCCACAACCCCCGTTGATTCCCACAACCGAAGCATCAAGTCACGGCCGAACCCAGACAGAATCCTGCCACTGCTTAGTTTGCTTTAGCCCAACACGAATTGTGTTGGCCCTTATGCACTGCTTTGGTTTGATGCGCCCAAAGTACGTTTTGGAAACAACTCGATTTTCCATGAATCCTGACCCTAAAAAAGGGTCATCCACCCATAGGGGGCGATGACCCCTTTTTAGAGGCCCGAAGCGAGGCGTCTTCGAGCCCAGCTTCGTGGGCAGCAGCGTGCCGCGGGGCGTGGTGGCGGATTGGATCATCGCCAAAGGCGGATCGACGGATCCGACGGATCGGACGGATCCATCCGAGGGATCCGACGGCTGCCTAGACTCAGGGCTCCTTAAAAGATACACTTTGCCACCTGTTGAAACATGTGGCTTTTGGCAATGTTCAGGTGTATAATGTAAGGATCCCTGCTAGAGTCCCCTTTCTGACCCCTAGATCAAGGGGTCATTTGACCCCATGATTTTGGGCAATGACCCACCATTTTTTAAGGGTCGTGGAGAGTCTAGGTGGGCTACCATTCGAAAAACCATCCCCGAGTTGGTTTCCTTTGTTCGAGAATCCCCGAATCCCCCCTGCCTTCAAAAGGAGGGGGTGGGGACCTGGTCCCCAATTCCATTGATCTAGTCTTCCCCATAAAAGGGAAAACTGGTTACCACAAATAGCATTCCAGGGGTCTCCGCCCTCCCCCAATTCCAGTTTTAAGGAGGTGGGATATCATAAGGACCTCGCACGACCTCACCCCAAATGGTTTATGTGGGGAATAGCCCCCCAACCACCGCAAGTTTCTTGGCGAAATATTATAATTCACCCAGATCGACACCTCGATGGATCCGAGGGGAAACGAGACGCGACGTGGACCAGGTCCCCCAGCAATTGGTGCCCTTCTCTCTCCCGTCTTTTTCCCCAACTGCTGAAAGCTTTGGTGTCTCAGCCCAGATAGGCTCCGGGGTGGTCCGGGGCGGGTCTGAGGTAAGGTTCCACCAGGGTTCCACCAGGGTTCCACCAGGGTTCCACCAGGGTTCCACCATTTGCGAGGGCTGCGGGGTGGTCCGGGTTGAGGTTCCACGAGGGTTCCACAGGGTTCCACCAGCGTTCCACCAGGTTCTGCGAAGGTTCCACGAGGGTTCCACCAGGTTCCACCAGGTTCTGCGAGGGCTGCGGGATGGTCCTTGGTTGAGGTAAGGTTCCACGTTCCACCAGGGTTCCACCAGGGTTCAGGGTTCCACCAGGGTTCAGGGCTCATGTCGGCAAATGCACGACTTGAGAAATGGCCAAAAACTTGGACTCGTGGGTTCGTTGCCATGCTGACAAAAAGTCTCAAAGCTCAGGGGCAGGTCGAAAGTGCCATGCGCATGAGACCAATCACAATCCTCAGCGCGTTTTTCCGCTTGTGGAGCCGGAGCAGATGTGCCCCATTAAAGCCATGGCTCTTGCGAGTGCTTCCTTCAGAGATTTACGCTCTCAGAAGCGGACAAGGCGCCGATGACATGGCCATCAACGTAAGCTATTTGCTCGAAGAGGCAGAGCTGCGCGGTGATCATGGCGCTGGCCTTTCGTACAACTTTGCTAAGTGCTACGATCACGTAATTCCCGCTATGGCTATTGACACAATGCTTTACAGGTCTCACTGGAGGACTCATGTCACCTTCAAGAGATGGCCGCCATCGTTACAGAGCATCAGTGCAGTGCACAACATGCAATGTTCCGGATGAAATTGGGCACATTCATTGGCATTGTGTCAAATACAATAATTTACGTGCGCCTATTCAAAGGCTTTTACCAAGAATTTTGCGAAGCCCCCAATGTTTTCAATATGCTGCAATTAGCACTTCCACCTCGGGTTTTCGGATTGCTGAAGTTAAGCGCATCCATCGGGTTCTCATTGACATTTGGCAAAAGCACATCACAGATTGGCACGATGAGGATGTTGAGGAACCCCCAGCGCCTCCAGACAATTTTCAGGCATGCAGAGTTTCGGATGCGCCAACAAGCGGCGCCAACGCCAGTGACCCACCCAACGGTGAGGATGGTCCCGATTTACCGCAAGATCGCGAGCAACGAGGTCACCGGATTCGGTATTTTTCTGGCGGGGCATTTTGCGTGACGTGCGGAAAGCAGACAGCAAGATTGCAACATCTCAACACACGTATCCTGCGTAAACCTTGTCCTTACCCCAACTTGCCAGAGCATTCATTCTTGGATGGACAAGCCGGGCAAAGTGCAAGCCGCTGCTGGACTGGACGAACAGGAGCGCAAGCTCAATAAGCTTTACAACAGCGCAAACCACACTTTCGTTTGGAACAGGAAGACGGGCAAAGATCCAAAGCAAGTAAACAGTTTTGGGAAGTTGTGGTGCAGGAAGTGCGGCCGCACTTTCGCATGGCGTTACAGAGTACAGAATTTGCCAAAAACAGTTTGTCGTGAGCTGGAAGTTGCGCCTGAGCCACCGGAATGGGTACAACTATGCACTGTCAAAGGCACTGCGAGACAATTTGAAAGACCAAAAAGGCGCCTTCGAATTCAAAGGCACCACCATTGCCGCCAGGCTTGTTTCCGCGCCAAGGCATTGGGTGAACAACATCATCCTTTTGAGCGGATGTACGGCAGTTCAACCGTTCAGACAGGGTTCCACCAGGGTTCTGCAAGGGCTGCGGGTGGCCAGGGGTGGTTTGAGGTAAGTCTCCACAAGGGTTCCACCAAAGTTCCTTTACTAGGGTTACACAGGCTGGTTTGAGGCAAGGTTCCATGAGGGTTCCACCAGGGTTCTAGCAGGTTCTGCAAGGCAAGGTTCCACGAAGGTGTTACCAGGGTTCCAGCACGGTTCCACGAGGTTCTGCGAGGGCTGAAAATTGTTACGGGGTGGTGAAGTAAGGTTCCAAAAGCGCTCCACGAGGTTTCCACCAGGTTCTGCAAAAGCTATGGAGCAGCCGTGAGGAAAGGTTCCAGCAAAGTTTCATGCTAAGTTCCACGAGGATGGTTTGCGAGGTTCCTTTCAGCCTCATGACATCCATGAGTGGATGTTTTTTTCGAAGAAGCTCAGGCTCACTGCCGAAGCAACTGACCCCGAAATGACCCGAAAGCGGCTCCCCCAGTTTTCTCCAGTGAAGGCTCCAACAAGTGATCACCGTTTGTCGACTGGGTCTTTTGGTGACCCTCCTCTACTTTTTTGAATACTGCCAGTTGCTTAAGAATTGGTTTATTGCCCCCTGTTGGTCTTGTGGAGAATCTATCACTGGTGGATGTTGCTCTAGTTTTTCCAGGGGACTTTAGCAAATTGAGGAATATGGAATTGGGCTAGAATCAAAAACAGGCATGCCTTCCAGTTTCCCTTGGGATAGATGTGATGCACTTCGTCTTGTGGCGAAGCAAGCCCCAAAATCAGACAAGGGGCTTCTGTTTTTTCCTGGGGGATTCTAGAAAGCTGCTAGGATTCTCAGCTGGGGCATTTCTTCGAGCAACTTCTCATTTTGAGGTGCAGCATGAGAGAAAGAGCGGTCTGTTAGGGCCCGCCCACTCAGGAAGTGGAAGTGAGTCATGGCTGAATCTAGAAAGCCAATGTCCCAATGGACATTCCAAGTAGCATCAAAAGTACCCAAACCTTCACCTCCAAGTTCCATCCTCTCTGCAAATGAGTTTATATGAGTTTATGTTTCCCATTTGCTTGCAAAACGGTTGTGCATTTGGCCGGGGCATTTCTTGGCCAATTCAGCACCCCCTCTCAAAACCCCATTTCGAAAACCCGAATTTCTAGGCTCCCTCGCTACAGCCGAGTTGTTTTTGGGAGGCCTGGTGGATGTTTGCATGGAGCTGGCGCAGTTCACGGGCTGCTTGATGATCCGGGAGCCTTCGGCCTACTTCACAGCAGGCGAGTCCGCGAGTCTGCGAGTGGGGAGGGTCCGAGCTCCGAGTCGGAGCTGCGAAGGGAGCCAAAGGAACCTTAAGGAACCTTAAGGAACCTTAAGGAACCCGAAACCCCACGCAATAGTGTGTATTTTCCTTTGGTTTAAAAGAGAGAGACTCTATCTCTACTGGAAGTATGTTCTCATTCTTTCAGGGGGTGAAAAAGCAAATGGAAGTAGCGGTTCACAAATTGTTTGGACGTTTTCTGTCCGATCCGCTTGATCGGATGTGCGTCAGGGAAGGACACAGGAAGGGAAGGGCAAGAGAGGGAAGGGAAGCAAACGGCCCCATTTACCCTCTCCCAGACTACGGGTCTCTCCCGAACGGACCCCTTTGGAAGACGCGGTTCCATTCAGAATCAATCTAGGAGCTTCCATTTTAGTCTGAGGGTTTTGGTTTCTTGCGAATGCTTTGGGCCCGATTAGGTCTGATCATAGTTGTTGTTGGGAAACATTTTGCCCATGTTTGATCTTATTGTGGTTTAGTGTTTGAAATTTCCAAATGTACTCAACTGCTAAATTTTGTTTGAGTTTTTGCTCCCCTAACCCAACGTCAGCCAAGTGATTGTTTTTCTCGGTTTCCGTACCAATTCGGACAGACCTCTCTCGCAAAGCGCGCAAAGTCGCTCGCTGGCTGGGCCACAGGCACTCTTCCGGCTTGTGGCAGAAGTGAACCCCCAACCAAATGCCGAAAGTTTTCCGTTCTCTTCTTGGTTGCTCTTGAATACAAGCCAACCTGGAAAGGGTAATTTATGTTGAACAAATATTAGTAGCGGGGGGGTCAACCTCGACGAGTTCCACAAACGAAAAAAGACATGGCCGCTTCTCCCGGCTGGTCGCTAAACATGCATTTCTTTTGCGCCCCATGGAAAACAGAAAATATTTCCAGTGGTGTTAAAAATCCAACTTGAAAACCAACGGAAAAACATATTGATTTCAGCAAATGGAAGCAAAGGGCCTGTGACCCCAGAGCAGGTTGCTCCACCCCCCCCCCCCCCGGTGCAAAGAACAAAACACCACCCTTTCTGCGACACCATGGGTCATTGCAATGACTAGTCGCGGGGTTCATTTCTTCCATTTGGTTAAGACCCCTGGAAAAAAATATTTCCAGTAGATTCCCTTCAACAAAAACGGGGGAACATTGTTTTGTTTAAACTTGAGCAAATGGTTGCTTTGCAGGAAGTGGTCGCTTAGATGGTGTGGGCGTTAGTTGCATAACCCACATATGGTCGCAAGCCCCCTCTGGCCAGGGCTGCGAGAGTGGATTTGCCCCCCCCCCCCCAGGCCATCTAAGCAACCCAAAACCAACGTTTTCACAACCCATTGCTCCTAACCGAAAATCTAATCAAACTGCACTTGAGGGAGTCATAGAGGTCAACCCACGGCCAAACACCCAGACACACCCACATGGTTGTTGTTGGGAAACATTCTACATTTTTGCCTATTGTGTTTTAGCCCCACTTAACAGCCAAAATTGGAGATTTGTTGCTCCCCTTACGTCAACCAAGCCCCCGCAAAGCTGCCAGGCAACCTCATCGACATCGTGCGGGGAGGGCTGCCCATTCTGCTACTCTGGTTCTATGAGGTCCGTGTGATCCACCTACTCATCGCGGCTCGGCTCGGCTCGCGTGATCCACCTATTGCCTCCGTGACCTTTTGGGCTAAGTCATAGTTAGCTTCGGATTCATCCGGACCTCTAGTCGCCTACATGTTGCTCCAGTAGGAAAGGGAATCACCCCTCATTTTTGGCGGTCCTCCAGATTCATCCGAGGTCAACACTATCCGGCATCCCTTCTTTTGGGGGAGCGGGTCCCTTTAAAACCAAGCAACAACACTGAGGCTCAAGCCTATGTGGAGTACCCCGACCCGATGTGTCACCAACTCTGAGACGAACAAATTAGTATCCAATCAAGCGCTGGATGCTGCTCAAAAACTCGGAACCCCGCAAAGATGCTTGGTTTCCTTTTGGTGCCCCTATAGTGCAAATACTCTATTTTGAGAACCCCCAAAAAACAGCTACCAGACCAAATGAGTCAATTACCAACTTGCTCATCTCAATCAAAGAGTCAATCAATCCATCCATACATCCATCTACTGACCGACCGACCGACTGACAAGCCAACCAACCAACCGACCAGCCAACAAGCAACCAGCCAATCAATCAATCTATCAATCTATCAATCAATCAATCAAGCAATCAGTCAATCAGTCAATCAATCAATCGATCAATCAATCGTTCAAGTATTCAATCCGTCAAGCTACTTTTAACCATAGCTTACGTAGCTTACCATCCAAAAACGAACTAGCACACTGACAGGCAAAAAGACAAGCCGACAACGCGGGAGACAAGCAAGCAAGCAAACAAAGAAGCAAGCAAAAAGTATTGAATGCCTGTAGCTCCACTTCATTCACAAGGGCAAACAAACACAACCACGTAACAAAAAACATGCGAGAGATGTGGACCACGAAGTGTTGATTCCTCCAGAGTGCTTGCGTGTGTTGTTCTTGTGAAGGTCTTGGACCTTCAAGCATGCAACAGGGTGAGGTTTTGGAGCTTCAAGCAGTCCCTGTCCAGGGTTCGGAGTGTTCGGTCCGCAAATATGCATTTGAGCCACAATCAAAGCCCGGGTAGATGAAGGTTAGTAAGGGACAATCCCAGCAATAAATAGTTTCGGCCGCCTTCTGAAGTCTTTACATGGTTTTGGGTCAACCATTTTAATACCGGGTTTTGATTGTGACTCATTTGTTATGTTCCTGCGCAGGTTCCGAAGCCTCTAACTGTCAAATTGTGCATGATGGTTCTCATGTTAAGAGTTATTCAGCACGGGCTATGTCAAGAATCTGGCTCACAAGCACTGGTATTTAGAGGTTCGTGCACACCACACAAAGTACGTGATCAACCGCAGCACCGGCATGCATACTCCCTTGGGGGGACCACACAGATATAGTGTCTATGTTTTATGTATATATGTAATGTATTGAATATATATATATACATATACATACATACATGTACATGTGCACACAAACATACGCTACATCTACATTTGCATCTGCAAGTGCATTGCACACTCTACCATATCATACTGTACCGTGTCATACCTGCCAAACCGCCGCATACCATACCATACCATATCACACTGTCCATTCCATGCCGCACCATACCACACCATACCATTCCATGCCGTACCATCCCATACACCTACGCGGCACCAACCGCACCTGGCTCATCCGCATGTCCACCTTGCCCCAGGTGCTGATCTATTGGATGCGTTTGCTCGAGGTGCGGAGGATCTGAGTCGCAGTTCGTCTTGAGGCGAAAGGCAAGCTTTGTTTGGGGCCTCTTTGGTTTCAACTTGGGGTTGTTTGAGTTTCAAAGCCAGCGGTAATCGTGAAAAGACACCGGTAACGCTGAAACAAATCGCAGTAACACCGAGTTTGAGTTTGCGAAAAATGGAGTTTGAGTCGAACGTGAGTGTTACAGGCAACCCTGACTCCAAATGCTGAGGCAGCTCGGTGGATCCTTTCGAAGTGGATGGTCTGCAGCGGAGTGTGGATGCACCAAATCCCAGTTCGATGAAACCCCAGTTGAAAACTCCAGGGGTTGATTCCTTGTCCATTCTTTCCAGCCATCGTTCTTTCAAAAAACCGATCGCCATTTCCCCAGGGTGTTTGGTGGTTTTCGAGAAAGAAGGATGCCTGGAAAGAATGGGGCAGTTACCCCTGGAAAAACGGAGACACCACCTGTGAATGAGTCAACTGCGGGATTTCCTCCACGGGAAAGCATCCGCCGAGTCCCCTAAAGTGGTTGCATGCTGAGGGCTCAAAATTGCTGCTGGTGGTTTCCCTTCAATCCACCGCGAAAAGGGACCAGTTGTCCGGATGTCACTGTAAGGAACCCAGCCTTGGGAGAAACGAATCTGAGAACGATGTGGGAAGCATCGCTAAGTGGTACCATGTTCATAACCCACTTGCCATGGCAAAGTACGTCTAAAGATACCAGGGCAAAGCTAAGCAACATACATTTTTTCCGATTCTGGTTCATTTGCCAAAACTCTCTGTATATAGCATGTAGCTTTGGAGACCCCAGGAAAAAAACGGTCGACACGAGGGCAGAACAATGCCAATCCTCCATCTCATCCAGGTTGCTCCGATCGGAACAGACATTTGGCTCTTGCGACGCAGAACTAAAGAAACCAAAGCACATGTCCACTTACTGTGTACTCAATCTTTTTGTGGTCGCCCAGTGTCAACCAGTTGGTTTTTGTTTTTAATGTTTTTCTCGGAGCACGTGTTTGGTTGCGCCCTTCAGGGGTGTGGTGAAAGCTGCGAGCCTTCGACGTGTTGAGTTCCAATTGGCCCGGTGGATCCATCTCCATAGATCATTTGTTGGGCACTGCCGCTACCCTTTAATCAAAGAAACTATTTGCCTGATTTCCTGGACTTTAAGAATCTTTACGACGTTTTTGGTTTCGACCATTGTAGTAGTCGCAACCAAAAAGGTTGGACTTGTTTGGGCCAATCCACGCAGAAAGTGAGACAATGACAGTTCCTGATCTCCTGTAGTCATGGTTGTTGTTGGGAAACAGTTGACATTTTTGCTTATTGTGGTTTAGTGGGAAATCCCCACTTAACTGCTAAATTTAAGTGTTTGCTCCCCTTCCAACGTCAACCAAGTAGTGGTATCTAAAATCCAAGTGGGATACACCAAAAGTCAGGTTTTGTATGATGATTTTTGGCCAAAGGCTTACTTCCATTTGCTGAAATGAATATGTTTGTTTTATTTCCCTGGTTGGTTTTGAAAGGAAATTGCCACTACTGGAAACATGTTTTTTCCAGGGGTCGAAAAACCGAATGGAAGTTTAGGAAGTCCTGACACATCCATTTTGTGGATCGGGATCTTTACTGGCCATCCGGTCCACATCCGCAAGATCCGCGTAAAAACGGGCTGGCCTGGTCAAAGGCAGTCCGCAAGATTCTGAAGGCCCCCTTTGCAAGTTATACTGTGGATGGACGAAATCGATTTCGCACCACTTGCAGTTACAGGGGAATCATCCTTTCAGGGTTTGCTGGGTGGTGCTGGATTTCATCCATCCACAGGTGTCCTTCTTGGTGGTTTTTTGGTCGAACAATAGATGGCGATTCCTGGTTTACCTGGTGGTTGAATCATCTAAAAGGGCCATCTAGTTCCACGAAAAGGACGCTTATGTTTGCAGTCGTTGTCCAACAAGCATTTTGGACTGAAGATATTTGAACAGCCCAAACTGGGAACTCCCCCAACTGTGTTTTACATGTAGGGTTGACTAAGTACGAAACAGAATCGGAACATATGGTTTCCTGCATACACCCCAGATGTGGGCCAAATGTAGCATGGATCACGGATGAGGATTGCGTTGTTCAAAGCGAATCGACCTTAACTGACCTGTTGGTTTTCCCATGGTCCAGTTTTAGTGGCCCAAAATTGATCAGCCTTATTTCCAGGTCCTTTCAGGGGCAAGTGAGTCAGGCAACCCTTAGTGGATGGTTTGGATTGGTGAGATTTGGATTTGAACCCCCAGGTTCTTGAGAGGAAATGGGAAACTACCCCCGGACACCTCCGAGCTGGCAAATCCTTCAGAGCACGCCTACCTCGAATGGTCGAGTTGTCCCTGAAAAGCATGCAAGTTTCGGCCAGTCAAAAGCTCATGTCCAGGATTTGTTTAGACCCGTGAGGTTATACAATACTGGGGTCTTTTACAAAGCAATTTTGCATTCTAGAGACTCCACATGAAACACAGTCAGAAAGTATGCCATGTTCTATGTAAAACTTATTTGTGATTCAATCGCCCCAGCCTCAAGCAGGGCTCCCCATTTTAATGGCCCTCCCCCCCTCACCCCCCACCCCTCCCACCCATTCCCCCACATCCCACCCCACTCCCCCACTCCCCCCACCCTTCGTGGAAGTCTCCCTGTTGCGTCCGTCCTACGCCTCCCTCCCCCCCCCCCCCACCGCCTCAGTCTCGCCGTCCGTCGGAGTCTCCTCGTCTCGGCGTCAGGTCATCCCCACCCCCTTACATATGGAGTTGTGGGAGGGGGGTGACCCCTGGAATTCCACTTACGCTTCCACTTCCCTATGGGGAACACTAGATCCACGGAATGCGAGACCTCCCTTCACCCCTCCCCTCTTGGAATCCGGATTCCGACTAAAGGACACCAACTCGGGGATGGGTTTTTTCGGCCGGGGCGCGCCCAACTTATGGCGGTGATGTCAGGGCGTCACCCACTGCGAGACCATCGGCCACGCGCTGCTGCCGCTCGCGCAGCTGGCCAGCGGCCTCATGCCCGCCGGGGAAACTCAGCGAGCGAGAGCCGAGAGCCGACCGGTCTCCGAACCGAAAACGGAACGCAGCGACCGAGAAACCGACGAAGGGTTTGGCGACGGGTCAGACCCGGAACATCCAGTTGATGAAGACCCCTGGAAAAAAGATTTCAAAAAAGCAAGAAATGTCCAGTAGTGATAGATTGCCTTTCAAGCCAACAGGGGAAAATCATCTATTCTTAAGCAAATGGAAGGGAAAGGACGTGGAAAGGAGTCTTTGAGGTCTTTGAGGTGTGGTAAGTTCAACCCATCTGCTGAAATGAATAGTGTTTTCTTTCATGTTCGCCTGGTGGTTTCAAATCAAAGGGATCGATATTTCACTCCTGGAAATATTCGCTCATGTTTTCTTGGGGACTTGAGTCTTGAGCAACTGGAGGTAAGATCCTTTTTTGGAGTTGGTCCCTGAACTCGTGGCGAGCCCACCCCCTGCCCCTGTGTGATTTGTGGGCCAGGTATCCTTGCTGGATCCTGGGCCCGCCTCCTCTCTGTGGATTATTTGGAGCTCGTGATTTGTCCCTTCCGTGCTTGTTGCTTGATCTGTTTTGCTGCTAAAGTGTTCCAGAACCCGAAAACGCCACCCAAAGCTTCCAGTGGACAGCCCCTTGCCTCCCTGGTTTCTTGCTTGGCGCTTCATGTTTCACAGAGCCCTGCCCTTAAAAGCAATGAGCCATGGAGAATCGGGCCAGAGAACATACCTCAAGCGACCCTATGTGTTTCATTCATGAAACGCTGAATCCCATTCTGGGGAATGTTTGGTGTGGTTTTAGGTTAACTCAGCTTACCCTCAGTGGGTGGTTTGGAACCCTGACTTTTGTAGAAGACAATGGAAGACCATCCCGGAACACTTCAAAACCAGCCATCCGAACCACTCAGAGGGAAGGAGATGAATTGCAAATTCAAGCCAGGGCGAGGATGTGTCCACCTCGGAAAGTCCATCCCCACCACTTGATCTTGTAAGGATCCCCACTTTGCCACTCGCGGAACCTGGCCGGCGAAGAGCCCATGTTGCCACATTGGTTGAGGAGGATGCGGTTTCTTTGGTTTATCATGGACATGGTTCACTGGTCCCACACATGTTGGAGGCTAAGATGGTGCTTGACTTGTGCCATGATTTGCCGCGCTACGGCGGTTTGCCCTCGCCAAAGCAGGCACCACACCCAGAATCTCGACCAAAATCGGACTCAATGGATCCCAGTTACCCCCTGCATATTAGGTAACTAGGTCACCGACAATTGTCCTCTTGAAGTTTCATGGATGGTTCCCTTGGTGACCTACAAGGAAATGGAATCACTGGGGGAGGTGTGTTGTTTGTGGCCACTGGTGCAAAGGAAACAAAGGAAGACCATCCTGCTTCTGGGTCCAAATCCCTGTGTGGGCGCATTTTCAATTCGGGTTTGCATCAAACTAACCTACAAGGTTGGTTCCCCTTTGAATCATAGCCACAGCGGGTACTCGATCAGAAAAACGGACCCCCACTTAAAAAAAAAAAAAAAAAAAAAAAAAAAAAAAAAAAAAACATGAGGCTCGAACCTCAATTTTTGGGATTCGAAGCCCTTCTTGGGGATCAGGGTTTCCCATTTTCCGGGACACGCCAGAGCCACAAGAACCAGGACCCACCCCAGGGCAAAGCCCATGATCTTCCAACTTCAAATCCATAGAACCCCCCCCCCCGGTTTAAATCCATAGGAAACTTTCCCAGTCGGTTCCTCCCCCCCCCTTTCCCCATCTCCATGGGCCACCCCCACCACCACCTCGCCTCAGCGCCTCAGCGCAGCCAAACCAGGCGATGAGTTTCACCCTGGTGGGTTTCTGCGCGCTCACCCACGCCTCCTACGCCGTGCAAGTGCTCCCCGGAACGCACGCGGAGGGCGAAGGGGGAAGGAAGGCGGAAAGCCTCGGAGGGATTTGTTTTTCTTTGGGGTACCGTAAGCCTTTAGCCTTGGAAGCCTGGTAAATGGACAAATGGACCAAAACCTGCGGTTTTTGGGTGGTTTAATTTTGACCCATACTCATTGATGTTCCCTTGTTGGTTCAAAAGTTGGAATAGATTTCACTACTGGATATATGCATAGGTGTCCTTTTTGGTTGTTTTGGTCGAAGAATAGAGGGCGATTCCTGGACGCCTATGATTACGTGTGAATGAGGAAGCCCCCCCAAAGAAACAAGAAATGAACGAAAAATAGCGGGAAGAAGGAAGAAGGGGCGGTTTCGAACAGAAACATGTGTGCTGCTGGTTTCCCAAAACAACCCAGGCACAAGGTGCCCTGATAGGCGAGAGGAATGCCCTCCCAGATGGTTGGCGGAGAGAAATCTCCAAATGATGTCGAAAGGGCCCCAGATGGCCTGCAGGCTTCGCTTGGTTAGGAATCAGGTCCCCTACAAAGCCAGGTTATGTACGGTGAAACAGCATCTATTAGTGACCATGCTACAAAACCATTTGAAATAGAGTAGACTACATTTGAAACAGCATCTGAACATATGATTTTCTGCGTGTCCCACGGCCAAGACAAGCCACTTTCCGTGGTTGCGCGTCCACCAAGTGGATAACCAAGGTTAGAGACCTGATAGCTAAGTCCCGCATCTATGCGGGTCCCTCTAAAGTGGTCGCATTTTGAGGGCTTCTCAAAAGGACGTTTGGAGGTGATTTTCCTAGAAACGCCACCCGGGTAATTTTGAGGAGCTCGCTTTGGTTCTTGTTGTTTGTTTGCTTGCTTGCTTGCTTGCTTGCTTGCTTGCTTGCTTGCTTGCTTGCTTGCTTGCTTGCTTGCTTGCTTGCTTGCTTGCTTGCTTGCTTGCTTGCTTGCTTGCTTGCTTGTTTGTTTGTTTTGGGGGGGACGGCGGATGCGAATTTAGAGGGGGTCCTTTTAAAGGGGGTTTAAAGGAGAGATACAGGGAACGCCGCTTGGTTCTGCCTCGCTCCCCAGGCCGGGACGTGTGAAATGGACTGGACCGCAACGGAGAAATTATTTTTGGGTGAGGTTTGGTAAGGGTTTGAACAGCTACTCTTTTGGTTTTGGGCACATCTAAGACATATTTCCGGGGGCGGTTGTGGGTGGCTCCAAATGGGTAAGTCCCTTATCTGGGCTGTATATTACTTAGGGGTTGTGTAATGGAATGGGGTTGCAGGGGTAAATCCAATTGAGACTTAGGGTGGTTAGAGTTAGCCACAGACCTGGGCTCGCAGAAGGCGAAAGGGGATCTTCACTGTTGGATCAAGTTGGCGAGTGCCTGACCGTGAATTCCACTGGGAGAGCCGGAAGTTGTTTTACATGACGGTAAGGACGTACAACCTGTTTCCCTCGGGGTCCCTTCAACATGACATGCCTTGAATTCCACGGCTGAAGATTGGGGCGTTGACACCAACGCAAAGTGGCTAGGGAATTTGGGAATTACCACAGGGATTCCCGAAAAGGAAACCACAAGGAAAAGTTTATAACCTCATTCCCTGCGGAGCACCAGCAAGTTAAGTCGCATGGCAAAACACTGAACCATCAGTCGAGGGCCTTAGCCCGCCAAAGACCCCCCACCTACCAGAAGATAGTATTTGGGCTGACTTGCCCTTTCGTATTTGGGGAGGGCGAAACCTTGAGAACGTTTGCATTAGTTCCCATCCACTGATCAAGGGGCACGGCTTTCGCAGATTGTAGAACTCCATACGCCCCAAACACACTTACTCGTTCCATCTTCGCCACAGCTGGAGAAAACAATTTGTCGGTTTTGCGCATCATAGTTCAAGTGTGTTTTATGTGGTCGGTGACGTTTTCAGGTTTGACTCACCTAGTTGCGACAAAGGTGTTTCCCGTGTCTCGTGTTTGTGTGGTTGGAGTTTTCCCGGGGTTGTGTTTGGGTGTGTGTGTGTGTGTGGTTTTCTAGTATCGCAGCCTTCGCAAAGAGTCAGTTGTTCCGGGCACTTAAAACGGATTGGGTTTGGTACCCTTTGGGAAAAATTGGGTTGCACCACCCTCCTTTTCTGGAACAAAATTGAAGAATCCGGAGCCCGCCATGTGTGATTGTTTGCTGCCCCAGGAACTTGTTTGGCCCTATTCAGGCTCCCCTTTGCGAGTGGGTGGTAATGTTCTTCAAAGTGTTCGGTTTGCTTCTATTTTATTTTTAAGTGCTCAGCCTTTTTGGGGTAGATGCCCCATATCACGTCGGCAACCAGAGAACCGAGGGGTATGTCAACTCATCTCACAAGTGGCCGGGACTCGTGGCACCCTTCTGTCCTTTTCTTTGGACAGGGGTTATTATTTTGACTGTTTCTGGGGGTTATCACAGTCAGAAAATGGATTTGGCTGGTTCCCTTTAACCCACCACTTAGGGGATGGTAAAATCATGGGGCCAGCTGGAGGTTTCCCTTGAAACTCGCCAAACACCGAGGTAGTGACCCAATTCCTTTTGCCCAGACAACTCACTAACTTCCCAGAGGCTTAGCCCCTCAACGGGCTGGGTGTTTGCGGGTTGGGGGGGGAGTTGTGGCTCGGGGGGGAGGGTGTTTGGCGTCTCTGAAAGCTTTCGGACAGTGAGGCATCCGGACCACATGTGGCCGGACACCCTCTTCCAGTCCTTCACACTGCTGATTACCCAGGCCTGCATCTCCGAGTTCACTTTGTCTGGACCATTCTAGTCTAAGGTGTTCAGTGGCACCCTTTGTCCCTTTTTTTTGGTGGCTGCCCCACTAAAAATTGCCTTCCCCAAAAAGGGTTCCCTTTTTTCCCAGGGTCACTGAACAACTGAGTAGTGGCAACCAAAACGCCTAGACGTGTTTGGTTGCCAATCCTCTCGGTGAGGTGGATGCTTACCAACAAAATGTCCTTGCTTGGGGTTGGTAGCATCATCATTATGTAGGGGTGATTTGAAAGGCTTCTTTTTTAGGTGATGTTGACAGGGCAATCAGGGAGCAATGTGCTTAGAACACCACCAAACAACCACTCGCCGGGAGGGTATGCCCCACATACGTGCCTGAGGTATTAAAACGTATGACTGGCACCCTCTCCAAGGGTCCAAGGGAAGGGTGTGCGGTGCATTCCAACAAAGCAAGCACACACCTGCAAACCCTGGGTCAATGGCGCAGGACTCACTTCGTCTTAAGGAGTTGTATCTTACAAATCGTGGGGGTGGCCCATGTGTTGTGCACATGGGGCCTGGTGGTTAGTTAGATGATCCATGGCTTCCACTACCCCGAAACCACCCCAGCAAGAAATGTGATACGGGCGCCTTTTCTAGCGCTTTCGAAGGAAAACCGCAAAGGAAACGAATATGCTCGGGGGGCCATGGTTGTGGGAAACGGCTGCTCTGGGGTCCTTTTCATGATGCCAACTGGCTGCTCTGTGTGTGTGTGTAGGTGACGAAGACTGTTGTGCCTTGGTTGATCAGTCCGAGGCTTTTTTTGCAAGTCAACTCCCGTTTGGTGCTTGGTCTTCCATTTGCTTAAGAATATGGTTTATTTCCCCTGTTGGTTAAAAGGAATCCATCACTACTGAAAATATGTGTTTTGCCAGGGGGCTTAAGCAAATGGAAGGGATGTTTTGCGAAGATTGGTTCTGATGAATAGTTGGTGCAGTACGCAGCTTATCTATTCTTTGACCGAACTCCCTTTTAAGTAGCAAAGTAGTCATAGGGGTCGCGGAAAGTGTTGCTCCCCCACAACCATTTGAAACGAGGTTCCTGCACTGATCGGTTCAAGTTCTTTTGCGAGTTTCCCTTAAAAGCCATCTACAGCAAACATGCCTGTTCTGCTGTCCGGGGTCAATGAAAAAAAGACACCTTGCGCCTTGGGCAGCAATGTCTGGTTTTAGGCTTGGAATCATTGAAGTTGCAGCCAGATTCATGGACTTCACTCGATGTTTCAAGCACCTTCCCGCTTCCTGGACTTCTGGACATGACTGGCCCCCTTCTGGAGAGTATCAAGGGTCCCAAGTAGCTGAAAGCCAGCTTCTGACTTTCACCCCCAGAAACAGAACCAAAGTCATGAGCCCATGAGATCACCGACTTGTTGGACTTCGACTGGACACGTCGATCTGTCTCGCGTCAGGGTTTGCCGGAGCACCCGCCCAGCGACAGCCTGGAGCTGCTGGTGCTCTACGTAGGCGACTCCCGTCAAAATTGAGGCGATGGATAACCTACCCTCTATGGGGTGTGTCACCAAAGTACTTCCCCAAAACTAGCTCCCCTTTTTTTTGATTTTTTGGGGTCCCCTTGTTTTCCGCTAACCAGGCAAAAAAGATAATTTTCTGCTGGGGTCATAATTCCAGCCTAGAGTGAAGGATTCCTCTAGGCGACAGCCCGCAATCCAAAAAGCAACCAGGGGATGTAGGATGGGTTTAATCTGGGGTTCCCATTCTAACCCCCTCATCATCTCATCATTTGCCGCTAAAGAAGGGGGGCCCGCAGCGCTTGGGGCCCACTGTTTGCTTGCGTGCTCGCGTCGTCAAGTTTCGTTGTTGGTTTTGGGTTACCGACAAGTGCCCCATTCTGTGGAGAGCTAACGCTGTTGGGGCTACAAAGTGACTGACCTCTTCCTATCTTTGCCGAACATGCCGAGTGTTGTGTTTTTCTGCGGGCTCCGTTCGGGGATGATCAGATGGCTTGCCATGGCAAACGGAATTGCAGGCGTGCTCTTCTTCTCCATCTTCGTGCTGAATATCTTCATCGGGGTCATCAGCGAGCAGTACTCCAACGAGAAGGCGAAGGCCTGCCGGGCAAGCGTGTTTTTTGTTTGTTTCTTTGGTTGTTTTTGTTCTTCTTCTTTTTTTCGGGGAAAATGAGGGAGGGAGGGAGGGAGGGAGGGAGGGAGGGAGGGAGGGAGGGAGGGAGGGAGGGAGGGAGGGAGGGAGGGAGGGAGGGAGGGAGAGGGGGGGGGGTTACACACGCGGCTCGAGCTGTGCTTAAAAAGCTTCCACCACAGAAATTGGACCTGGAGTCTCCACGCTTTAAAAAGCGGGGGTTATGACCCATGTTGGATGACCATCCATTTTTTAAGGGACATAGACACGCCAGGTGTTTATGTCAGGGTTGTCTAGTTTTCCCCGGTTGGCTGACTAGCAGTTGACCTTGTTTTTTTTCCGGGTTCGGAACCTCAGGAACTCTTGGGCAACACGCGCAGCCGCCATTTGTGGGGTGTGGGAAACCCCTAACCACCAGAGTATGGTTTGAGGATGTCACTCTAATGGCCCGGATTGGCCCGGTAAAGCGAATAGTTGCGAAATCCACAGATGGACGAGACCCGATTTGGGTGTGTCTGCTTTTAGCGAACCCCGAAAAGAAACACGAAGTAACAAGAATGGTTGGTTTTTCCAAAGTTCGGCTTCCCTTTCAAAAGGCGGTCCCAAAAAAGGTACAGACCCGATTTGGAGTTTTACGCACCTGGTGTAGGTGTTTGTTGCAGCATCTAGTATCCCAGAACCCTGGGATGTCTTGGACGGTGGGTACCTGGAAAAAGCTTGATTTGGCCATGACTTTCAATCGAAGACCCCTTCAAAGCGGTTGGTGGACGCAAATCCCAACTCAAAAAAAGTCCACCTCGGGTCCCAATCATCAAGGTAGTTCGAACCTATCCACGGAAAATTGGCGGGTCCTCTTGCTACCCACCTTCTATTCTTGAGGGTCGAATATGGTATCGAACATGTTCTAAAAATCGTTGGCGATTTCCAGGCCCTAGGAGGACAGCCGAATGGGAACTCCGAATTCATTAATCGTAAGCCCTTGACCAATTGGGGGGTGGGGGGAGCAATTTTTGGTTAAAACCCTCAAAATCCGGGCTTAGGAGTCTCAGATTGGAAGACCCTGTTACACCCGTTTTCTTGGCTTTGAGGAATCTGTTTCTTGCGAGTTTGAGGTGAGTTGCAAGCAGGAGTGACTGTTTGTTTTTTTTGGAGGGAACATACTGTGAATGGACGAAATCCATTTCGCACCTAAGAAACCCTGGAATGATGACTCCCCTGTTCATAACTACTGTCTTCCCCAGTTGAAAGTGGCGCAGGATTTCGTCCATCCACAGGTTTCCTTGTCATAGCCGCAGCCACAATCCTTCCGGGGCTGCGCGAAAGCAGGGCTCCTGAACAGATACGAATTGGTCATTGAAACAAGACGTTCTTAGCAGACCAAAAGGAAGCCAGTATTTGGGATGATGTAGTTGTTCTTTACTTGGGATACATTTCTTACGTCAGGTTTCGTCAACGATCAGGGTCGACTTGGCCCCAGAAACTTGGACCCAATCGACATGGCCTGATCGCTCAATATAAGGCTGGAGCCATCACTCCCAATAGGAGGCTCGCTCAACAAAGCGCGAGCCTCGCAGTGGAGTTGGCTGTGTTGACAAAGACCAGGAGAAGACGACAGGCGGCAATTTGACAGCTGCATGTGGACAATCTAAGGGTGGAAGTACATACCCCTTGTTCGTACCCCTTGGCTTCCCTGGTTTCCAACCCACTTTATAACGGGTATATCCCCCTTTTGGGGAGAGTATGAACATCAGCAGGCCTTCTGGGTTCATTTTTCCAAGGGGTATGCAACAGGGGTTATGTACAAGCACCCCTGGAGACAATGGACTGGATGGAGCTGCCTCGCGGAGCGTTAGATGGTCACATTGCTGCGAAAGCTCTACCTTAGACAGTGCGAGACGAATCGCTAAGTGGCTAGTAACCATTTTTTTGTAACCCAGTCCCCATGGGTTATAACTAGAGTTACTACCCACTTTGCGATTGGCCCCGGACCATCTAAGTATCACGAGAGCTTTCTAAGGTCAGCTTTTCCTGATGGAAGTTCCAGCTTAGCTTGTCTTGCCAGAGCGCTTGCCATACCCGCGAACTGCGCCTGCGACGTGCAGTATAGTTTGGCATCCATGGGAAAACACACGCTGCCTGCGGGCTACGCAGTGAAATCCAGGTACTGTCCATATCAAAATTCGGAAAGACGGGGACCCTGGAAAGTCAAACCCGTCGTGGCTCTCAAAAAGGCGTGAAGTACTGGCATGAAGCCGAAACCCTCATCCTTTGCAACTCCGGAGTCTCACCTGGGCGAGTCTGTTTTGAGGATACCCCTTGTTTCATGGCTTTGAACAAAGAAACCAAAGGGACAACAAGCTCACTTTGGGGGTCCCTAAAAAATGACACGCACCATGATCAGGTGAACCTCATGTTCCAGAGCGTTCGAGCCGGGGCCTAAGAACCCCGGCACGTCGGGTGGGATTGGTCCAGGGGATGAGTCGGCTGGTCAGCTTGAGTCAGACAAAGCAGGACGGATCGTGAACGGAGCGACTAGCAACGACTAGCAACAGAAAACAAGCCCTAAGATTGTGTCCTCGACTGGCAACCGCCATACTTTGCCGGGGGGAAAGAAAAAAACACATGCCCCAAAAACAGGGCCCCTTTTCACACGTTTCATTTGCATCGCTCTCGCGGGACACACACACACACACACACGGCAAGTTGTTCAGCATCATCAGTGTGCATTTTTGTTCATTGGCTTCCCTTTCTGTACTCCTATTGGATCTTTAGACTAACTTTTTGGATTCCCCTCATAATTCCTTTTAACCAGCAACCAGTTAAACTTTTTGCTGGGGGATCTACGGCACCCAAGCTTTTTGCTTGGTTTTTCTACCAGGGACACCAGTTGACAACAATGCATCCCGGATTCAAGGGCAGAACCCCGTCAAAAACGGCGCAGGGTTGCGGAACATGAGGTAAGTGGGTGCTACAGTCCGTCGTTGATAATTTTTTGACTTTTTTCCGACCACTTGTGCAGCACCTACAGGGTTTGTAGGTCGGTTTAATGCAACTTGTTTTGTCAGAGGGGAGCCCCCCTTGGCTGGGCTCTCCTGCAAAACAAGGTTCTTGTTGTTTCTTCTTTTTTGGTGTGGGGGGGGGGTGTCGTTTGTCGTTCCTGGAGACCATTTTCCCTCACACCGAGAGACTTTTAGCCTTTTTGTGGCTGAAGGGTTTCATGACAAAATCCTCGCAAAGTTTAGCATTTAGCAAGGGGTCAACGGACCGCTAAGAGAAGAGGTTGCTCAAAGTTTCCTGCAGTTGGAAGGTACATACGGAGGACTCACTCTTCTTCAAAACGAAACAGAAATCAAGCCCATGTTGTCCCATGTGTTAGCAGGGACCGGATCCCAAAATCTGTACGGCTCCAATAAATCTAGGGGTTGATTCCTTTTCCACTCTTTTCAATCGTTCTTTTTGAAAACCGGATCCGTTTTCTCTGGTTTCTGGAGGTGTTCTTTGGAAAGATTCGGATCGGGTTCAGAATGGGAATGGGAGGTACCTGGAATAAAATTTCCGAACTCCCGCGAGGCCTCGTGCTGCTTGACCTTCCTGCTGCGTTTGTGTTGCCTGCCCTTCCAGCTGGTGACCAAAGAGACCGCCTCCGCGACCGACGCTCGTGCAAAACTTTGGGCCGCTGCGTTGACATGGGTTGCCCGGTCCGGTCCTTAAGGCATGGTTGTCGTTGGGAAGCATTTTATATTTTTGCTTATTGTGGTTTAGTGGGAAATCCCCACTGAACTGCTAAAAATTAAGTGTTTGCTCCCCTTCCAACGCCAACCAAGAAGGGATGTGTAAGCTCGTTCCAGAGAGTCCAAATGGCAACAACCAAAGTGGGGTGGTTGTGCTCCTTTCTTTTGGGAGGCAAATGGTTATACCAAAATGGGGTGGTTTTGTCGCCTTTTTGGTTTCCCTTTAAATCCACGAA